CAAACATAGAACTAAATAATTGGAGAAATATTAATTGCTCGTGGGCAGGCCAAGCCAATATTATAGAAATTGAAACTATCTAAATTAATTTACTTATTCAGGATCATACCAATCCAGCTACCAAAGAATTGTTTTGTCGAGCTAGAAAAAGTAGTAACAAAATTCATCCAGAGGAGCAAAACTTTAAGAATGTTAAGGGAATTAATGAAGAAAAAAAAAAAGAAGGAAGGGGGCTTAACAGTACCAGATCCCAACTATACTATAAAACTGTAATCATTAAAACAATTTGGTACTGGGTAAGAAATAGATCAGGTGCAACAAATTAGGTACACAGTATGTATGACCAAATGCACACAGTAGCCTAGTATTTGATAAATACAAGAATCCCAATTATTGGGGCGAGAATTCACTATTTGACAAAAACTATTGGGAAAACTGGAAAGTAGTCTGGCAGAAATTAGGCATAGACAAGCATCTCAAACCATATATAGTCAATCCTTAACTTTTGGAGGAAAAACATTCTTAGAAAATGGCACAAAAGAGGGGCAGCTAGATGGCGCAATGGATAGAGCACCGGCCCTGAAGTCAGGAGTACCTGAGTTCAAATCCGGCCTCAGACCAAACACTTGACACTTACTAGCTGTGTGACCCTGGGCAAGTCACTTAACCCCAATTGCCTAAAAAAAAGAAAATGGCACAAAAGTAAAAAATGCAAATGTTGGCATGTTGAACCTATGGGAAATAGAGGGTTAGATTCCCATGACCACTAACAATTGGAAATTTTTGCTAAAGATTGCTGAAAATATACTTTTCTACATATGATTCTTTATAACAAAATGTTAATTCTGATAATATGTAACCTAACAAACACAGTTACCATGAAGTAACCCATATCATGCAGTACACAAAATAAAATAGGTTGCAAAACGTTTTTTCCTCCCTAGTAATTCCCTAGAATTCTGTGACCTTTCTGTAACAGTTTTGATTATAGAGAATTTTTTAAAGTTTATGTACAAACAAAACCAATGTAGCTAAAATTAGAAGAAAAATACGAAATGGGAATGGAGGAGGGAACTTTGCAGCAGGTTTCTGTGATGAAAGTCATTTCTAAAATATACAGGGAACTGACTCAAATTTACAGGAGTAAGAGCCATTCCCCAACTAATAAGTGGTCAAAGGATAAAAATAGCAGCTTTCAGAGGAAGAAATAAAAGTCATCATGAAAAACTGCTCTGAATCACTAATAATTAGAGAAATGCACATTAAAACAACTCTGAGGCACCATCTCACACCTATCAGATTGACCAAGATGACCAAAAGGGAAAATGACAAATGCTAGAGGGGATGTGGGAAAACAGGTACCCTGTTGTTGGAGCAGTGAACAAACCCAGCCATTCTAGAAAGCAGTTTGGAACATGCCCAAAAATTATTAAGCTGTGCATAAACCCTTTGACTCAGCAATACTGCTACTACACACGTAACCCAAAGAAAGAGGAAAGAGACCCATTTGTATGAAAATAGGTATAGCTATACCTGTTTTGCGGTAACAAAGAATTGTAAAATGAGGAGATGCCCATCAGTTGAAGGATGGCTGAACAAGATGTGGCATATAAATGTGTTGGAATAATGTTGTACTGTAAGAGTGAGGAAAGGAGATGGTTTCAGAAAACCTGGGAGGATTTGTACGAACTGATGCAGAGCAAAGTGAACAGAACCAGAAGAAAATTTTTATAATAACAGCAATATTTTAAAAACAAACAGCTGTGAAAGACTTAGTAACTCTGATCAACACAGTGACCAGCCACAGTTCCAAAGGACTCATGGTGCTGCCCACCTCCAGACAGAGAGCTGATAGACTCAGGGTACAGACTGAACCGTATTTTTCTGTCTTTCTTTTTTGAATAAGGCTTAATGTAGAAATTTGTTTTTCATGACTATATATATTTGTGGTGGATTTTGTCTATCTTGCCTTCACAGTGGGGTGGTGGAGGGTATAGGGAGATGGAAAGAATTTGGAATTTAAAAAAAAAGAAAAGATAAAAATTCTCTGTGCTTTAAAAAAAAGAGAAGACCCAGCTCAAATGCTGCCGTGTTGATGAACCCTTCCCCAGACACGTTTCATCTGAAACTCACCTTGCCCTAACCTCCTCTGGCACTCTCCCTCTTCCATTCGAATTGTCTGATTCTAAGACGAGTGCTCACTCTGTCTCTAGCTTGAGTCATTTGTGCCCAGTTCATCTACCCTGTGGAGAGGTTGTAAACTCCCCGAGGGCAAGGTCTGTATCTCCTTCCACTTTTTATCCTCCACAGCCCCCTAACCCCCTTGTAAGTGCCACGTAAATGTTTCTGGAATGGTGAAGGAGTAAATGAATGAGGGGGAAGCTTCCTGTTTTCAACAGTTATGAGCAGCTCACGTTGCTCTTTAAAATGTTGACACAGATTGGGAATTGCTTCAGCTAGCTTCTTGACCTTCTCTAGAGATTTTTGAGTTTCTTATCTTGCTTTTTACAAAAGTGATTTCTGACATTTGTACAACAACCATGTTTTTCAAAGTACTCTCGTGTACATTTAATCCAACAGGGTGAAGCCCTCTCCACTCCTGTACACCCCAGCCATTCAGTGCTTTGATCAGTGGCCTCTGTGAGCTGCTCTGGCCAAAAACAAACCATTCTTTGGTGACCAGCTTTCTAGTCATGAGCCCATCTGAATTTAATTAGGATTAGTGTTGAGACAATAGCATCATTCCTCCTCAGACCTGTGCTGGAGGCCTTTCCAGCACTGTAGGCCTGCCAGGATTTGAGGGGAAACTCAGCAAGGGATCACCTGTGCACAGTATCTGAGTTCAGACATTTTACACACAAGAAGGGTCATGATAACATAGAATTCTTACACCCCAGCCCCCATGCAGAAAATTGTCACTTCCTGAAGGTTGACATACAGCTGTCAGGGATGGGGGCAGGCAAGGGGCCCATAGTCATAGGAGTTGTCCAGTGATGACCCTGGGACATGTGGCCTGCAGCTCCCAGGCAACCTCTCACATGGCCAGCATGCTTCTGGAGGCAGTATACTCAGTAGCCCTTTGTCTCCAGCTACATCAATAACCACATATACTTTGGAGAAACTGCTTTCAGTGAAAAATAATCCATATGCCCTGCCTCAAGGTCCCCCAGAAATCACCAGGAAAACAAAGACCAAGACAATAAGGTCCAGAGTTCCTTAGGGGAGACCAGGCTGGGGCTGCCATTCAGTTGGTTGTCAGGTTCAAGGGTCCTAGCAGAGGCTCGATCCTAGCTCAGGTCTTAATTTTGCTGCAACACTATAATAATCTTTGTGAAAAGTTTACATTTTTAGTCCTTGCTTCATAGCTAGTAAAACGTGTTTTTGAAAGAAAAGGAAGGACGCTCTCTGTGGCCTCAGACAAGTGATTTCACCCTACTGGGTCTCCTTCCAAAATGAGAGCTGGACTTCATAAGAGCTTTCTGGTCCTATCCCAGGTCCAGATAGAAGGATGTATGAATGACTTTTGGCTTGAGTGGACTGAGAGAAGATAGGTAGGGGTACCTCAGGCAGCAGGTTCTAGTGTGCGGAGTAGGGTGCCAGAGGCAGGAGCATCCAAGAAGAAGTGGACTAGCCTGCAGGAGAGAGACAAGATCGTCATTGCTTACAGGAGGTAGCGTCCCAGACTCTCCTGCCAGCGTGCCCGGGGGCTGAGGAAGGGGTGATAGAAGAGCTCCCCATCCAGTTTGCAGTGTCCACTTCTGCAAGCATTAATTTAACACCTGCTTTGTGCAGAGCCTTGTGCCTGGTGCTGGGAAGACAGAGGTGGGTCCGTGTCCTCAGAGCTTTATTCCCTGTCTACATTTGAACAAACACCCATTTGTCGAGTGCCTACAAATGGAGACGAGGCACTACGATATGGATGTATGTGGCAGATCCGTGCCTCGAGGGACTTATGATCAAATAGCCCAGACAAATATGTGGACAGATGATTGTGATGTAAATTAGAAGAGGCAAGTGCAAAGGAGAGGGCCAGGGAATCTGCTGGCGATGTTTGAGGAGGATGTGGAAGAGGCAGTCCCTGGGCCCTGAAAGGAGGGAGAAGCTGCCCAAGGCAGCCTGGCCCCAGCCAGTCTTTCCAGCCTTCCTGGACAGGACTCCCCCACATCACAGCCCATCTCCAGGCTCCCTTCCTATGCACTGGCTCTCCCGGGAAGGCATTTCTCTCTAGGTTTAAGATACAGACCAAGCATCATCTCCCTGAAGCCTTTCCTGATTTCCCTCAACTCTAGGCCCTCTCTCCTACTCTAACACGTATCGATGCACTCTCTGTTTATGTCGGATATACATGCGCATGTACTTGCTTACCTCCCAGAGCAGAGCATACACTCGTTTTGAGGAGCATCGTGTCTGGCGCCCAGCAGGCAGTTAATCCGTGCTTGTTGATTGACTCATCGGTGAAAATGGGGGAAGAGCGCTAGTCCAAGGTGGCTGGGACGGAGAGCCCTGTCCAGGAGAGTAGAACGAGTGGCAGAGGGCCTCTGTGGCAGGGTTGCTGATCTCAGCTTTATGCAAGAGGCACGGGGTTGCACAGGTTTTCTCTAAGGAGGGTGATGTAATCATAGCATCATATTAGAAGAAGTGCCGAGGAGGTATCACCTTTTGCCAGCCCTTTGAAGTTTACAAAAGACTTTTACGTGCATGATCTCGTTTGGCCCTCATTATAGCCCTGAAAGGTAGGTGCCAGTAGTGTATAGCTGGGCAAAGAGTGGCTAAATGGTTAATTCTCCTAAGATTTAGAGCTAGAAAGTGCCAGAGGGCCATCTAACCCAACTGTCTTGTTTTTACACTTAGGGAAACCGAAGATGGTAAGTAGTGAGCTGATCCCCAGCCCCGTCCCTCTCTGTACTGCGTGTGCCCTGGGGGCCAGAGTGCAAGCAGGAGTGAGGAGGCTGATGCCCCGGCACCAGGCCTGGCTAACATGGGGGGGATTCTTCTCTTAGGCTTGTCGGGACTTCTTGGAACTAGCAGAAATACACAGTCGGAAATGGCAAAGAGCGCTACAGTATGAGCAGGAGCAAAGGGTCCGCCTGGAGGAGACCATCGAGCAGTTAGCCAAGCAGCATAACAGCTTGGAACGAGCCTGCCGTGGGGGCCAAGCCACCCCCCAGTCTGACAGCCTCCCCCAGGGTGAGTGGGCCCCTGCCAGGGCTGGAGGCAGGGGAGGGTCCTGGGGAGGGCCGGGCCAGCCCAGGACTTTGGAGTACATCACCGTTGCCGCAATCATCACGTCCCTTACGGAAGACTTGTGTGGGAACAGGGACAGAGCACGGCAGTGAGGTGGTTCAAGGCCTGCTTCTGGTCCTACCTGCAGGGCCTTGAGACAATCAGATGACAGGGTTGAGCTAGCTAACCTCTGACCTCTTGTGAGCTTTGGGATCCTAGAAGAGAAGCCTTAGGAGGAAACAAGATGTCGAAGAAGGATTAGGCTGGCCCTCTTTAGCCTCACAGGGCAGACTGCAGTTCAACAAACGTTTATCAGGCACTGTTTTAGACACTGAAGGTACAGAGACAAAACCAGAATAGTCCCTGCCCACAGCAAGTTTCCACTCTTCTAGGGTGTGGAGGATACAGCAGAATAATTTCAAGAAGGAGAGAGCTAACAAGTGGTGTCAGGAATGGTTCCTGAATGGTGGAGATGAGGGGGAGGGAAAGCATTGCTAGCGCACAAAGAATCACTTTTTAACATCAAGCTGTCCGTCCCCAAGGGCTGCCTGGGAAGACGGTGAGAGTCCTCATGTCCGAGTGCTCAGGTGGAGGTTGGATGATGACTTGATGGGGATATTGTAGATGACGGGGTAGTTTCAGGCAAGAGGGATCCTCGGTCCCCCCGAGGCCTCTTTGCAAAATTGTATGATTCTCCCTTCAGTTTATGAAAGGCTGCCTCTGCAGAACTCAGAACCTGGCTGCAGCACTTCTGCAGGCAAACTGACCACTGCCCTAAGGGTAGCCCAGGGCCTGTCGCTTAGCACAAAAGACATTTTTATCTTCACATGTATCTTACTCCTCTATTTGCAGTGCCTCCTAATGTCAGACTCTGCTCTTACTTAATAAATACTGATTGGAAAACGTTTGTCGTATAATTTCCTCAGGGACCTTTGGTATGCCCCTTATTTCTATCCATATTTATAACTAACTGTGAAATATAAAAATTGTGCACTAAAACTCAAGACACTTAGGATGATTAACTTACGGAATCCCCTCCTCCACACTGGTCAGAATCCTGTCCAGAAATAGCATTTTCTCTGCCTGCTCCTGCTACTTTTTAAAGGACGAAATCTCTGGGAATGTATCAGCTGCTCTTCTTTTGGCAAAAAGAGAGCTCTAAGTAACTGAAGTCCCCCATTACTGTTCTATCATGCCTCCACCACAAACTTGTAAATTTTTACCCAGACTCACCAATTTCTCCCTTCTGTCCAAGTGGTCTGTAGTATACACCCATTACAAGATTGCTTCTGTTTCTGTTTCTCTCTCTTTTAATCTTCACCCAAATATTTTATGTCATTTTCTCCTACCTCAGGTTCCTAAATTTCTTCATATACCTTCTTAGTATATAGTGCTATACTCAACTACCCCTTTAGCTGCATGGCCATAGGGCAGTCACTTAACCTTTCTGAAATCAAGTTCACTTCTAAGATCTCCCACTACTTTGTACATAGATTGGTGGAGGGAGTTCCCATATAGACTAAATCACAGGTCTTTAACATATTTATCTCTAGCTTCCTAGAATCATCTTCCAGCTATAAGGTAGATGCTTCATTGATCCTCTGAGGTCTGATTTACCTCCTGTCATCAGGATAGCTAATTGACTTCATTTTCACCCATACTTTGTGCATTTGAGTATAGACTTTGTCTGAGGCCAGGTGTTTTATTGCTGAACTTTTCTTGGATTTGTCTCCTATAAATTAATAAGCATCCCCTATGGTGTAAATCCTCTCAGTGGGATCTAGCTTAACAGTTGCTTCCCCAATCACTTTTCAGTTTAAAGCCTTTTTGGTTAGATTTGCAATCTCCTTACAAATCTGTTTTTGCCAGCCCTTGTTAGGTAGACTCAATGCCTGGCCACCAGACCATCATTTCTGAACTTTAAGCTGTGGCCTTAAAAGCCAAATCCCAGTTGCAGACAGTCTTCTTAACCACATGTTTACATTCCAACTTTACTTTCTTTTCAAAAGACCTTACCTTCAATTGGCAGCAGTGATGGAAGCTGTGCTTGTGCTCTGAACTCTTCCCTTTCCTGCCCAAGCATGATCATCAGTCTTAGCAATGCCTTCTGAGCAAGGGAAGTAATATTACCACTGTCTCCCCGCTAAGCATTTCAAGACCAACTCTGGGAGCAGCCTATTAGGAAGGGCCTTGACAAGTTACGGCGTGTCCCAAGGAAGATGGCCAGACTTGTGAGAGGGCTGGCAGTCATGTAAGAGAATGAACGATCCAAGGAAGCATTGCTGAGAAGAGAAACTAAGGGACAGTCTAATATCCTGTGGGACAGACACCTTTACAGGGATGACTTCCTCAGCATGGCTCCACCGGGCAAAAGGAAGTTATAAAGATGGAGGTCATAAAGATGTAGATTTTTTCAGACATGACTTAAAATGACTGAACATCAACAAAAAAAATATGTCTTTGTTCTTTAAATGTCCTTCTTCTAAACAACAGTTTGTGGGGTTTTGTTTTCCTAACCGGTGTCACACTCTTCATTTCATTTTGTTGGCGTGTTTAATCCATTCACATTTAAAGTTATGAGAGTTAGGTTTATATTTTCTTCCATTTGTCCCTAATAATGACTTTCCAGATGAGGATTTTTCTTTCCCTTCTTCATTTGTCATGCAAGGCCATACAGGACTTGGAATCAGGAACACCTAAGTTCTAATTCCCTTTTAAACATTTACTAGCTGGGCAAGTCAGTTAATCTCCGTTTGGCTGAGTTTCCTCAGTTGTAAAATGTCGATAATAACAGCCTCCCCCCCCAGATTGTTGTGAGGATCAGATAAAAGAATAATTCGACAGCCTTTAGCACTGCATCTGGCACAGAATAGGCTCGTGTTAAACACTGCACTGTATCTCATCAGCTCTTCTAGCTTAGCTGTATTTAAGACCACCCTGATGGGAATCATCAGCTTTCTTCCCCTCACTCTCAAGGCCCTACTTCCCCATCCTCATTTGCTACCCCTTTCCTTAGTTTTGGAGTTTTAAAAAACTCATTAGATCCTTTGTCTTTTTGCTTCTACCTACTTATTTGATTTTTCCCTTCTTTTTTCTCCTTGTTAGTCAAGTAAAATTTCTCTTTCTTTCCTCTTCTTCAGCTTGTTTTGTTCATTAGTTTTTTTTAATTTCATTTTCGTACCTTTTTCTTTTTTTAATTCAGTTTCATTTTCTTTTTCAGTTAGGATTTCTCTTCTTCCCATCCCCAAACCCTATCTATTGAGAATACAAAGGAAACAAAACCATTTACAAATATAGTCAAGCAAAACAAATATAGTATGCATGATCCCTCCTCCCCCCCAAGAAAGAACAGTAAATATGCTCCATCTCCCCTCTGAGTCTGTCACTTCTCCGAGGGTGGGCATCTGTTTCATCACGAGTCCTTTGGTCATCTGTCTTGATCGGAGTTGCCTAGTCTCATACTTGTCTGCCTTTATTGCTTTACTGTCATTGGACATGTTATTCTGCTGGTTCCGTTCACGTCCCTTGTATCAGTTCAAACAAATGTTCCCAGGTTTTTCTGAAGCTATCTCCTTAATAATTTCTTATAGCACAATAGTATTCCATCATATTTATATACTGTAATTTGTTTAACCATTCTTCAATTGAGGGACATCATCAATTCTTTGCCACTGCAAAAAAGAATGACTATAAATATTTTTGTACATTTGGGTCCTTTTCTTCTTTCTTTGATCCCTTTGTAGTATAGACCTAGTAGTGGCATCTGTGAGTCAAAGAGTATGCACAGTTTAGTAGTTTTTTGGGCATAGTTCCACATTGCATTCCACAATGGCTGGGCTTATTCATAGCTCCACCAGTAGTGCATTAATCTACCTGTTTTCTCACAACTCCTCTAGCATTTGTCATTTTCTTTTTGTTGTTGTTGTCGTCAACTCCACTGACCCTATGGGTGTGAAGTGGTACCTCAATATTGTTTTAATTTGCATTTTTGTAATTATTAAAGCATTTTTTTTTGCTTTTTGGTGAGGCAGTCGGGGTTAAGTGGCTTGCCTAGGGTCACACAGCTAGTAAGTGTCATGTGTCCAGGGCCGGATTTGAACTCAGGTGCTCCTGACTCCAAGTCCAGAGCTCTGGCTGCCCTAGAGCATGTTTTCATATGACTATTGATTGATACTTTGGGTATCTTTCCTCTGAAAACTGCCTATTCATATCCTTTGACCATTTAGCAGTTGGGAAATGGCTCTCATTCTTATAAATTTGAATCAACTCCCTCTATATTTTCAAAATGAGACTTATCAGAGAAACATGCTGCAAAGATTTTTTCCTCCAGTTTCATGCTTCTGTTCATTTTAGCTGCATTGGTTTTGTTTTTTATAATTTTTATATGATCAGAATTGTCCATTTCACTTCCTCTGAGCCTCTCTCCCTCTCATTTGGTCACAAGCTCTGTCCTTAGCCCTAGATCTGACAGGTAACACCTTCCATGCTCTTCTGATTTGTTTGTGATATCTCCCTTCATGTCTAAATCTTATCTGTATTTGGAGCTGATCTTGGCATACAGTGTGAGATGCTGAGCTATACCTAGTTTTTGCCAGATTACTTTCTACTTTTCCCAACAATTTTTGTTGAATCAAGTAAGTTCTTGCCCCAATACCTGGAATCTTTGGATTAATCAAACTCTAGGCAACTGTTCTCATTTGTTTCTGTTTATCTTGTACCTAATCTGTTCTACTAATTTAATTTTCTGTATCTTACCCAGTACTACATTGTTTTGGCAATTATGACTTTGTAGTATAGTTCTGGTACTGCTAAGGCCCCACTTTTTTCCATTAATTCCCTTGATACTCTTGACCTTTTGTTTCTCCAAGTGAATCTTGTTATTTTTTTCAAGCTCTATAAAGTAATCTTTTGGTGGTTTGATTGATATGGCACTAAATAAGTAAACTAATTTAGGTAGTGTTATAATTTTTATTATATTGTCTCAGCCAATCTATGAGCAATTAATATTCTTCTTTTGTGCCTTTTTCCTAAAAAAGGATTTCTTCCCCTTGTTCTCTTCATTACTTATGTTCTCTGTCTATTTTATTCTTTGATTCATTATTTAACCCATCTTTATTTTCACATTTCTCATAGAACAAAAGCTTCTGCAGTGTCTCATTTGGGTTCCTTCTTCTAAGCAGTTTCTGTGTTATTGCTTTGTAAATCTTATCCTCTGGCCCCCTTTTTTCTGTTGAGCATCACTCTTAGGTATACATATAAAAGTATTCACTAAACAATTGTGTATACAAAGAGCACATGCAAATCAATGCTAAGTAATTTAACATAAGATATTTGGGGAGGGGCATGCCAACATTTAGGGGGGTCAGGAAAAGCTTCATAGAGAAGGTCATCCTTTTTTTGTCTTCAAGGGAGAGGAATTCTGTTAGATGGAAATGAGGAGTGACTGCATTCCAGGCAAAGGGAGTAGCCATGACCCAGTGCAAAGGCACTAAGGGTGAGGAACAGAGAGAAAGCCAGTTTGCCCAAATTGCAGAAAATAAAAGGGGAAGCATTATAAAAATGTGGCTGGAAAGATCTTTGGGGTCCGGTAATAAAGGCCTTTAAAGTGCTCCATGGCAGCAGGGAGCTCCTAGAGCTTATTAAGGGGGGGGAGGGGGCAGCGCGGCATGCTGGTTTCTGTGGGGAGATGCTTGGCTCAGAGAGACTGATTGAACTCAGCTAGGTAAGAAGTGGTAAGGGCCTAAAAAAAGGGGAGAGAGGGGCTCCGAACAAGGGAGGCTGTGGGGTTTGAAACAGCAAGATTTGGCAATAAATTGGACTTGGGAGGGGTACAGGGGGTGGGACAGGGAAGGTGTCAGAGAGAGTGAACAGTTGAAGATAATGCTGAGGTTGCACACCTGGGAGACTGGAAGAGTAGTGCTGTCTTTGACAAAATAGGGAAGTTTGGAGGAGATCTGTGAATCACCTGCATAAAAATAATGGGAACTAATGGAGTTACAGAGAAAAGAGGGTCCAAAACAGAGCCTTGGGGAGCACTCACACAGCTAGGGACTATGCTAGGGATAATGATGACCACCCGAGGAGCCTGAGAAAGAGCAGTCAGACAGGTAAGAGGAGGACCAGGAGAGAGGCAGGGTCACAAAAAGCTAAGGAGGAAAGAGTCAAGAGGCCAAAAAGGAAGGTTGACAATGTCAGATGCAACAGAGAGGATGAGGACTAAGAAATGTGGCTATTAAGAAGAGGTCACTGGTCACTTTGGAGAAAGCAGTGTCAGAGAAGTTTGGAAACCAAACCACAGAGGGTCAAGAAGAAAATGGGAAGAAAGGAAGTGGGGGAAATGAGTATGAACAGCTTTTTCTAGGAATTTAGAAGGAGAAAAAGAGAGAGAGAGAGAGAGAGAGAAAGAGAGAGAGAGAGAGAGAGAGAGAGAGAGAGAGAGAGAAGACAGCTGGAGGGGATGATATGGTGTAGGGAGAGTTTTTTAAGGATAGGGAGACTTGGGTATGTTTGAAGGTAGTAGGGATGTCACCAGTAGGTAGGGAGGGGTTAAAGATTCAGGAGAAGGGATAGTTGGGGATGCATTCTGCTGGGGAATACAGTACAGCATGAGATCAGGGGCACATGTAGAGGGGTTGAACTTGGCAAGGACATGGGCCACCTCATTTTCAGAGTCTGGGGGAAAGGAGATGGGAGGGAGGGATCATGGTCAAGGGGTTTTTTCTATAAAGAGAAATGGAGAAGAGAGAGGCCATAGGGAAATTCTCAGCTGAGAGAGAAGGAGGAGGGGGAGGTACGTAAGACCTGAGAAGTCAAATCAAGCATTTCTTTAGAACCTGCTATCCTGTGTGCCAAGTACTATGCTCATTGTTGGGCATACAAAGAAAGGAAAAAGACAGTCCTGTCCCCAGGGAGCTCACCATCGAATTAGGAAGAAAACATGCCAACAGCTCTGTACAAAGGGCAGCAAGGGGGCGAGAGAAGAGCACTGGGCTTGGTGTGAGGAAGACTTATGTTCATGTGTTCAAATATGACCTCAGACACTTGCTAGTTGTGTGACCCTGGGCAAGTCATTTCACCCTGTTTACCTCAGTTTCTTTAGCTGCAAAATAAGCTGGAGAAGGACATGGCAAACCATTCTAGCATCTTTGCCAAGAAAACCCCAAATGAGGTCACACAGAGTCAGACACAACTAAAAACGACTGAATAACCAGAACAACGTACAAACTAGATAGATAGAAAACAGACAAGATAAATTAAAGATGCTCTCCTAGGGAAGGCACTAGAGGGAAGTCAGTCCACAGACATGTGTGAAGGGTACCAAGGAGACCAAGAGAGGGAAAACCACTGGCCCTGTCCTCAGGGGGAGATTATGCAAAGAACAGACAGAATAGAGATCAGATTGGAGGGGTCTTCAAGGAAGCCAGGAAAACTGAAAGGGCATCGGTGAGGAGGAAGACCAGGAAGAGGGGAAATTCTGGAGAGTTGTGCTTGAGCAGCAGCCAGGAGGCCTGTGTGCGTGGTTCATCACGTACGGGGAAGGGAGCACAGTATAACGAGGCTGGAGAGATGGCAAGGGCTCTGGGTTCGATGCTGGGGGTCATAGGGAGCCAGGAAGAGAATGACATCCCTGGGGACAGGTCCACTTTAAAATCACTTTGGCAGCCAAGGGGAGGCTTGGTTGAAGTGCAGAGGTTGTTGTCATAGTCTAGGGAAGAGACAGTGAAGACCTGAATTAGGAGAGTGACTGGGAGCATTTGTATAGGAGAGAGATTGTGATGGAAGAAATGACAAGGTTTGACGATGGAACGGATACATGGGAGCATGAGGGAGGAATACAAGCGGTGGGCCTGGGCAGGCGGGAAGATGGTGGCCTCTTTGGCAGCCCCAGGGAACTTTGAAAGGAAAGATACTGTTCAGCTTTGGAATTGAGTTAGAGATGCCTGTGGGAAATGGTACAGGCAGACAGACATCCAAGGGGAGAAGAAACATGTCTTGTTTCTCCAGATCTACCCAAGTTACTTAAAAAATTGTCTGCATGATCCCTAAGGGAGATTTTTGTCATCCATTGTCATTCATTAGGTACTGGTCACTGTCCCTAAAGTGGACAGTGGAAGTGAGGCTCAGACAGACCTGTGGGTCACTGTCCTTGGTTCCATCAAAGAAGACTGACTTCACAAGCTGTGGTGGAGGTTAGAAAAAGAGGCCTCTAGGGATAGGAATGAAAGAGACTGAACATGCTGAAGAACAGACAATGATCTTTCAGATAACTTGCCTAGCAAAAGCCCTTCAGACAACTTAGACAGAATAATCAGCAGCTCAGTAAGTCTTTCTCTCTTGGGCCACCTCATTGCCTCTGGCTTTCTAGGCCCTATCCAGGTTGGCTCTTAGAGGAATAAGGCACAGCTGGTGAGAAGCAGGCTTCTGAACTCTAAGGGCCTGCAGGGCCCACCCAGGGAGAGCTATTAGAGAAAGGCCTACTTACCAGAAGTCTACCAGAATTTGAGCTGAAACCAGCCCTTCTAGTGACCGTAAATCTTCGGCTCCTTGTTAGAGCTGGAGGGGACCCCCAGCACCCAGACAGACCCATGGCTGTGAAGGAGCTGGGATTTAAACCCAGACCTAGCACTCCTGGTGTTCAGCAGAGTGAGCAGATGTTTTAGAGGCCAGAGGTAGCCTAGAATCAGGTAGGAGCAGGTAATGTGCACACTGACAGAGCAAGCCAAGGTGGGCCAGGAAGGACAGAGCCAGGATGCTGCAGCCAGCTACTGAAAGCCAGGGGGACCATTTTAGACATGTTGCTGGCTGGGGCCACACCAGGAGGTCTGGGCCTGGAGAAAGGCACCTGATTGGAGAGAACTGAGGACCAGCCCTGGTGTCTGCATTCCATCCTCTGAGCTTCCTGCTGGCTCCAGCGCTCTCCAAATGGTCCTCCAGCCCTGGGTTCCCCAGTGGAGAATGTAGGAAAATGAGCCTTAAAAAAAGAAAGAAGCAGGAAATATTGAACTGAATCTCAGACTGTCAGAGGGATCAGGAGCTGTTCCAACCCCCTCCTTTCATAGATGAAAATACTGAGACAGACCCCGAGAGGAGAGGAGACTTCCCTAGAATCACACAGCACCAGGCTGCCTTTCGATAGTCAGCGGAGTCTGCTAACTGTCTAAAAATGGCAGGGCGGTTTAGGGCCCGAGGCACCACCAAGAAGTGGCACTGGCCTCCCACTCAGCCAAGGCTTCTCAGATGCACAGTGCACCTTACTGCATAGGGCGGTGGTGAGGGAAGGGTTGTGGGAACCTTGGGGAGCCATGGGAAGGATTGTTGTAGGTTGGGCTGGGTTTGTGTTCATCGTCGTTATTATTATGGCAATGGAGGGGGCTCCATGGGAACAGTCCCCCAGGTTATCCCAGTGTTAGGAGGAAGTCTCTTGGGGCACTGGATCAGCTGGTTATCCACTTAGCAGGACTCTGTATGATTACATATTAAATCTGTAGGCTGACTGACTGGTGGCCATGGGGATAACCTGAAGCATTTTCCTAGGGGTCAAAGGGTACATCAGTGATGAAGATGAGGATACAGAGTATTTTGACGCCATGGAAGACTCATCTTTCATCACAGTAATCACAGACCCTAAAGACAACAGGTATGTCTTTGCACTCGTCCTCACCACTACACCGGTAGCCCGGCCAGATTGCACAGGTCTGCCCAGGAAACTTTTATCAGGTGCCTCAGAAGCACAAAAGTTCTGGGTTCTTGGGAAGATACTAAATGTGGACAAAGTATGACCCTGCCCCTTGTGGGGCAGCTGGGTGCAGGTCCTGGTTGTACTATTGACTAAATCTCTGTAAAGTACCTTACACAAGTTAACTTCACAGCATCACGTTTCTTCATGTTAAAAATGGGATTGAGGTTGGGGAAGGGAGTGTCGCTAAACTGCAAACACTCTGGTGGTCCAGGAGCTCCTTCTAGCTTGGCTCTTCCAGACTCTTGGTTCTAAGGTTGTGGTCTAGAGCAAGGAGAGAATTAAAATCGCGAGGACCCAAGGACATTGGAGAAGGCCAAGAGATGGAAGTCCTCCCACCAACCCACTCCTCCATGTCCACCCATTGAGATTTCTCCCATTCTTCAGTGTCCAGATTCATGAAGCCTTCTGTGATCCCTCACAAGAAGTCGCCTTTCCTCTGAACTCTCATGTCTCCTTGTCTTTTGGTTCAGAATTCAAAGACCTGAATTCCATCATCTATGGAAAGGGGCAATAATCCTCCAGCTGCCTAGCTCCAGGGTGGTTGTGAGGCATCTGTTATATCCTTACAAAGAATGGGAGTCCCCATTTTATCTTCCCTGGCCTAGCTCTTGGTGCCCAGTATTCATTCATTCATTGCTTTGTCTCATAAACAGGATTAAGTGCCTCATCTATACATAGCCCAGTGATGAGGCCAGACACCATCCCTGCCCCCGGGAGGTTCACAAGCTGGAGCCCAAGAAAGGGATCTCCAAAACGTGGTTACATGGGTTTGAATTCAGGAGGCCTAGCTGTGAGTGTGACCTTGGGCAGATCCCACCCCCCTTGCTGACTTCCAAGTCCTCCATTGTACCCTAGAGAGGTTAAGCTAGATGTCTGAAGTCTCCTCCATGCCTGCCCACTTCAGGTCCAGGCCTCCCCTGGGCAAGCCTTCGTGGCCAGAGTTGCTTCACCCATAGAGATGAAGGGGCTTGTGTATTCAGTGTTTAAAATAGCCACTGTCAACCCCTGGGATTTTGTACAGAGCTAACAGTAAGGGTGATCATAACATGATGATGCTGATGGTTGTTACCCAGCTAGTCCGTGTCTGGGGCAGGGTTAGAATTGGGGTCTTCCCGAGTCCAGGAGTAGGGCTCTCTCTCCATCCCACCTAGCTGTCTCTCCAGTAGAACCATAACTTCTTAAAGGACAGGCTCTGGGCCCTTCTCAGCCTTGCCTCCCAGCACCTGTCATGTTATCAGCCCTTCCTACTGTTTGCTGACCTGAAAAGGTTTGTCCTGGAGAGGTACTTGAGAAGTAGATGAGCTGATTTCAAAGACCTGGAGGACTGCTCCAGGAAATGGAGATTGAAGAAATTCTTCTTGGACAGACAAGTTGGATTTCAGCTCCACACAAGGGAGACATTTCATTCACAAATTTCCCAGAGCAGGATGGCCTTCCTGTGCTGCTCAGGCTGCCCTCCCCAGGTGTGCTTCATCTCGGCTCTAGCACATCACCTTGAGATGGGGGGTCTCTACACCTTGGCCACATGTGCTGCTCTTCAGTGGTACCTTCAAATCACGTGTATGACCAGCATGGAGCGTGAGTCTACCGCGTGGTCATATGACCCACCCCCCCTGCCGGGTGTGCCTTTAGCACACACCTCTCTGGGGCCCTTGAAGGCTGACAAAGCGCTTTCCTTATGTTCAGTGAAGAAGAGACTGTAAGCATTGTTATCCCCATCTGCAAATGAGGAAACTGATGCTCAGAGGAAGTGACTTGCCCCCAGTCCCAAAGCCAGTGACATCTAAACCCAAGTCTCCTGTATCCCAAACCTCTGGGGTTTTCACTAACCATGTTCTTGTACCAGTTAATTTCAGCATCTTATCCACCTTCAGTCTTGGAATACATTTTCATTTGAATGCCATGCAGTTTGAAGGAGGGGAGAGAGAAGGTCCTTAATCACTGTTTGTGGCTCGCTCTCAGTCAGTTAAGAGTTGTGACCAGGGACTTGTGGCCGGGACAGTAGAATTTTGTCTTTCCCAGACCCATCACCATCACCAAAAGTCTGGGGGCAAAATGACAGGAGTCCTTGGAATCCAAAGGGCCTGTGTTTGAGTCCCAGCTCTTCCATTTGCTAGGTGGCGCTGGGTGGGTGAGCTTACCTCTGTGGGCCTCAGTTTCCTCATTTTACAGATGAGGATGATGACATCCATACAGAGTGAGATAAGGCCCAGACCAGTTAATGGTCAATAGAGTTAACAGGCTTTAGAGCTGGAAAGCAAATTCCAGTTCATCAAGGCTTATCTTATTTAGTGAGTATGACTTTTTTTTGTTCTTACATCTCCTTGCTTCCTCCTGCCCAATGTGTCTCCCTCGTGACCAGGAATAGAAAGGAAAAGGAAGAAGCATGTCAGCAAAACTAACATCTGGTCAAGTGAGACTAGCATCCCATGCAGAATTACGCATCTGTAGTCCCCACTTCCATCTCCTTTTGGAAGACAAGCTTTCGAAAGCATTCATTGTGCTCCTATGGTGTGGGAATGCAGAAATAAAAATGGTTTTGGTCCTACCCTCCAAGAGCTTGTATTTCCAAAGGGCAAGGGTAGGAGTGGGATGTGACACATAAGGAGATCCGTGGAATGCCAGGCAGAGAGTGCATTAGGAACACTTGGCCGGTGGAGAACATTGTCAGCTGGGGGTTCAGGGAAAGCTCTCAGGAGCTGGGGGCACTGAGTTGGTCCGTGCAGGAAAAGAAGAATTCACAAAGACAAAGAGGCTCAGGAAGGACCTTAGGATAAGGTCATACCGTGACATGGGTGGCACAATGGGTAGAGCCCTGGACCTGACATCAGGAACCCCACCTCAGACCCTTGGCAGTCATTTAACTTCTGCCTGCCTCGGGCTCCTTATCTTTGCCAACCTTAAAGCACCATATCAGTGCTAACAATTGTTATGGCCCTCACTACTCTTAGTCCAGTTTCACTGTATCAGGGAGTATGTGACCAGGAGTGATGAGGAATGAGAGTGGAAAAATCCATTTGGAGCCAGCCCATCTATGGGGCCTTGAGAGCAGTGCCAGCCTAGTGCTCCGGGGGCCCTAAGGAAGGAGTAGGGGAGGGGTCAAAGAGGGGAGAGGGCACAGGCGCTAGAACATGAGTGATGAAGGCCCAGACAAGGGCCAGAGAAGAAGGGGCAGCTGCAGGGAGAGAGATTCGACGAGAGTTGGTAAAGTGATTGGAGGTGGTGGTTAAGGGCGATGGAAGAATTCACTGCAGTTCTGAGAAAATGTGGCGTCACCAAGAGAAATCAGAACGTTTGGAGCAGGGGAAGAGAAGCAGACCACGGCACTGCATTTGGTCCAGCCCGAAGCCCAAAGGCTCCATCACCCATCCGAGAAGGAGCACCTAACCTTTGTGTTTTCCACAGATCTGCTGAAGGTGGGAATGAGGCAGGCCCAGTGGATGACTGGAATGCAGAGGATGATGTGAGTAACCTGGACCAGAGAGGATGGACTCCCAGGGATGGGGGGAGTGGATGAGGGAGGCTTCAGAAGGTCTGTGGGCTAGAAGCCAGGGCATGTCTTGACCCTGGCGACAGAAATTGGCACTTCACTCGAATTTTCTCTGTGGTCTTTTCCAAATTATGCCACTTCCATCTGGGAAAGGGAAAGGAGCTGCCTCCACCATGGGCCTAGAGCACCCCTGCTCAGAAGGCAGCTAGAAGCTGCAGGGGGTGAGCCTAGTGGATGTCTGAGGGAGGCAGGACCCCTATAGTCCCAGCCCTGCTCAGGGGTCAGAATGTTTGTTCACTGCCCGGGCGGCCTGAGCCATCACCACCAAAAAGGAGACCGTTTTCCCGGAATTTTCTTCCTGCCTTATTGACCGGGCTGAGGCCTTGGTCCCCAGCTCCTCCTTCTGATTCTTTGGCAGGTGTTTGGGAACACCACACGCATCCCGGGCGTCCCGCCCAAAGTCAAGAGGAGGACGCACATCCCTAACAAACCTAACTATAACATTAACCTCTGGAGCATAATGAAGAACTGTATCGGCAAAGAGCTGTCTAAGATCCCCATGCCTGTACGTGAGTGGGGCCCCAGCAGGGGAGGCTGGGGGATGTGCCCATGGGGGCCTGATGATTTTCAAAACTTTATATTTTGAACCCCAAAGTGAAAAGTATCCCTAAGTCTGTCTGGTGACAAGGTTGTGAATTTGTGATGAGGTTGTCATAGTACTACTGTTACTATAGGACCTGAAGGGTGGCCTTTCCCCAGCCTAGCCCTGGGAGGCCTGTGGTGCAAATATTATCTCCATTTTACAGATGAAGAAACTGAGGCATAAGAGACAAGTGACTTGACAGGGTTATCCCGTTGATATGTGCAGTGCTCTTCTGCTGCACCATGCTACTTCTCACTCAGTCATGGCCCTGCCTTGTTCTTCCAGCACTTCCTAGGAATACTTGGGAGCTCCCTGCAGCTGGGGTCCTGAGACCTCAGAACTCAAAACAAGGAGGAGAGCCAGAGCTTGAATTAAGGTCATCAGAGCATAGTCATGTTATTTATGCAGATAATATACTCATTTGTACAAATCCAGAAACCAGAGGAGAAAAGCACGTTACAAGCACTTGGGTGAACACTGCAAAAATCGCGTGATATTTGACAGTATGGCATACACTGCAGATCACAGAGCAGTAGGAGTTCAGGAAACAGCCAAAAAGCACAGCATTTAGCAGTAACAAGTCACCCTCTCTTCTGGAGCCTGGGCTCTCTGTCCAGAGCCAAGGAGCAAACAATTTCTTGACTTGTCTTGATAATTTCATCCTTCCAAAAGCGGAGGGGCCAACTGAGGGAATTCTACTCTGGACGAGATTTTCACTACCAAAGAGAAGAGAGGCACTGGGGTAGGAATGGTGGCACCTTTTAGAGGAAGTGACTCTTCCTTTGTGATGCACAAGGGGAGGAAAGTTAGGAATGGTTGGGAACCCTGTGTTTTGGCAGAGCCAATCCCAGAGAGAGAATAGGTGGGATCCCATGAGCTAAACTTCTAAGAGAAGGTCAGCCCACGAAGGATGGACAATTTTCCCCAAAAAGAACTTCTGAAGACACAAAGAGAAACAATTCCAATGACCTAGAAAAAGGAGAGTTATCCAGAGAGACAGAAGAAGCATACAGGGAACTCATTAATCCACTTAGCTTTTTAGAAGATATGGAAGCAAACGTGCAGGAAGCATGGTGCAGGCCTGTCATAAACATAGCAGAAAGCCTGTATCATTGAGGAGCTGCAGCAGGTAAGGAAAGCCAAGGATCAAAAATTATGGTGGCAAGGAGTACCACTGGGGAGAAAGACAATGGAGGAAAGAAGGCCAAGAGGGTGATCTGGGAGGAAGGGAAGACAGAGCCACTCAGTCAGATGGGGCTTGTTTTCTTTCTGTATTAACTTAATATGCCAAAATAAATAAAGAGCTGGTAAGAAAGCACCTGCCTGCCCTCGTGAGTTCAAGTCACCTGGGCCAGAGTAACTGTATATTCAGGTGTCAAAAGAACTGGCAGATATGATGACTGAGCCATGGCTATTAGTAGGGGGAGAGGAGGGAGTTTGCCAACTATAGGCCAGTGATCTGGACTTTGATTCCTGCCAGAACTCCAGAATGTGGTGGTGGTAGCGTTCATCCTTTGTTTTCAAAGAGAACCAGTGACATGATGCCTTGGCTTGCATGGGAATTGCATTTTAAGTGAAGCAGAGTTGCATAGTCATCAGTGTCAAGACAAAAGCCAAGGCCACTGGCAGTGGCCTGGGATGCAGAAACAGCAGTAATTGTGGAGGCTTTATCAAGCATAGGTCATGCCTGACTCACCCTGTTTCCCATTTTGACATTTACTAAATTGGCAGATGAGGGCAGCGATTTAGAGGCTATCAAGATTTTAGTAAAGCATTTGAAAGCGTCTCTCTGCCGTGTTTATGGAAAAGCTACAGGCGTTTGAACAAGACGCTGGCTGAATGAACAGGTGCAGGAGACGTCATTCATGGTGGTTTAATGGCAGCCTGGAAGGCTATGCTCGGCCCTGTGCTATTTAACATATTTATCAATGACCTTATCACATTTGCAAATGAAACAAAATGGGGAGAGTTGGCCAATGCACTGGATAAGAGGCAGGGTTCAAAAAGATCTTGTCATATTTGAACACTGAACCAAATCCAACCAGTTGAAATTGAATACAGATAAGCCTACACTTGAAGTCTTATACTTGGATGAGAAAAAAATCGACTTTACAAGCACAGGGAGAGATGGCCAGAGAGCAGCTGTTCTGAAAACAAGTTAGTGGCTTTAGTGGACTCTGTAGTGCAACGTGGCAGCCAAGAAAGCAACCTGAGGAGGTGATCCTAGGTGGTAGAAGAAGGTCATCACCCTTCTGCCACTGCTGCTTGGTTATGTGCTACCTGGAGTCTTGGGTACAGGTCTAAAGGCCACATTTTGGGAAGGACCTTGGTAAGTGTAAAGAACATCCAGAGGAGGGAAAACCAGTTTGGTGAAGGGCATGGTTAGGTTCATGCCACAGTAGGACTGGTGGAGGGACCTGGGGATATTTAGCCTCTAAAAGAGAGCTCTTAGAGGGATGGTCTGTAATTGTGTTAAGGGTTGTTACCTGGAGGAGGGATCCCCCTTATTCTGCTTGGCTGAGAGGCAGAACTAGAAGCAATGGGTAGAAAGCACAAAGAGGCAAATGGAGGAAGAAGGCCCTACCAGGCCAAGGTGTTCAGAAGTGAAATGGGTTGTGAAGTGGCCGTGGCAGACTGCCCATCAGTAGAGATCTTCAAGTTAAAGGTCACTTGCCGGGTACGTTGTACAAAAAAATTCTATTTCACAGAATTGTCAGTGCTAGAAGGAAACTCAGTGACACTCTGTCAAATGTTTGGTCAGTGGGCATTTATTAAGCATCTGCTATATACCAGACACTGGGCTGGGCGGGAGAGTTACAAACACAAAAGTGAGACAGTCCTGGCCCTCAAAGAGATCATATTCTACCAGAAGGCCAGCCCATACCTCAAAAGGAGCCTTTGTTATACTCAAAAAAATTGCAGAGAAAAAGGAAGATAGACCAATATATATGGCCAATGAATTTTATGCAAAAATTTAAATAAGATCTAGCAAAAAGACAATAGCAATATTTTTTAGAAATGTATTCATTATGACCAAGTTGGATTTGTACCACAAATATGAGGATGGGTCAGCATTAGAAAAGCAATAAACATTAACAGTATTAAAAACAAAAGTATCTAAAACCACATGGCTAACTACTAGATAAAGAAAAGGCCTTTGACAAAAGTACAAAACTCATTCGTGCTTTAAACCCTACAAAAACATGGGCATAGAAGGGCCCTTCTTCTATATGATATATACAGACATGTAACCTAAAGCTAGCGCTCTTTGTAATATGGAAACATGGAAGCTTTCTCAATAAGCACATGAGTAAAGAAAAGATAACTCATCTTCCCACTTAGTATTGCGAGTAGTTCTAGAAATGCCATTTAGATTGGCAGTAAGACAAGAGAAAGAAATTAAAGGCATAAACGTTGGCAAAGAGGGAGAAAGGATCCATGTTAGCAGATGACATGATCATTTACTTGGAGAACCCCAGAAATTTGGGGGGAAAGCCCTAATTGAGAACACAGTTTCAATTAAGGAGCCAAATACAAAATGAATCCCCAAAGTATCGTCAGCATTTCTTTATAGCAGTAATGAAATTCAGGAGAAAATAATAGAAAGGAAAATCCCATTGAAAATAACTACAAAATGCATCTGCTATCTGGGAATCCGTCTTCCAAAACACATTCAAGACTTGTAGAAATAAAATTAACAGAGTACTCATTAAAGAATGAAAAAAAGACTTGAATAATTGAAGGAACATTTGTTATTCATGGTTGAGCCACAACAATTCTAAAAAATATGATTTCTACCTAATTTACAGATTTAGTGTTACAGCAATCAGACAGTTGGGGGGGAGGTACATACTTTATAGAGCTAGACAAAATAACAACAAATCATTTTGGGAACAAAAGATCTAGAATGTCAAGGAAAATAATGAGATTGGGGGAAGGACTAATGAGAGAATATTAGTTCCATAGTTCAGATGCTATCATGAAGGTGTTCATCGTCAAAACCACAAAGACTAGCAAAGGTGACAAAAGATGGACATCACCAGTGCTGGAGGGCCTATGGTAAGCTAGGCACGCCAGTAAATACACTGGGGGCGGCAGTGTGAACTGGTCCGGCCATTCTGGAAAGCAGTTTGGAATTGTACCAGTAAAGTGAGTAGCACATCACCTTTGACCCAGAGACACACAATACTATTAAGTATATACTCCAAGGAAGTCAGCGACAAAAAGAAAAGCCTTATATACAATGAAATATTTTTACTATGAAATTCGTAGAAGCAGAGAACTAGAAAGAAATCAAATGTCCATCAGTTGGGGAATGATGCAGCAGATTGTAGTGCATAACTGAATGGACTATTACTGTACTGTCAGAAACAGTAAGGGTGAGGAATACAGAGAAGTCTTACAAACTGATGCAGTGTGAAGTCAGCAGAACCAGGAAGACAGCAGACACAGTGAGGGCAGCAATGTAAATGGAAAGATCAAGAGCAATGAAACAACCCCAGTGAACGCTGTGAAGTTATGGTGACCGAGCTTGGCCCCCGAGAGGAGGCATGAAAAGGTCCCTGCCTCCTTTGTGGGGGTGGGGGACTGTGGGTGTAGAATATTAAATCTAATGTCAGACTTGCTTAACTGAGAAAGTAGAAATAAATTGGGAAATTCAGACCATATAAAAATAAAAGATATCAACTAAGACTTATTTTTAGAAAATGTATCAAAATTGTTTGGTACTGGCTAAAAAGTTTTTAGATCAAATCAGCGGAGCAGACTAATAATAAGCAAGAATCGGCAACAGTGCATCTCAATAGACTAATGTTCTGTAAATGCAAGAATACAGTTTATTTGAGGAAGAGCTCCCTATTTGGCAAGAAGTGATGGTGGAAATGGAAGGCAGTTGTGTAGAAATTAGATTTAAAACAATTTCATATCATATCCCATTGTAAGCTCAAAATAGAAACAGGATCTCAATATGAAAGGTCACGCTGTGAAGACTTAGAAGACGACTCGGTCAGGGGAGAATTCATAGTGAAACAAGGAAGAGAAAAGATCTCAAAAGATCAAATGGGTTATTTCAGTTACATGAAACAGGAATAAAATCGAGCACCTGCTAGAATAAGAAGTGAAACCATCCACTAGGAAAAGAAAATCTTAGCATCTCAGCTGAAGGTCTCCTGTCCAAGAGACATAAGAAATTAAAATAAATACCCGAGACCAAGAGTCATTTGCTAATGGATAAGTAGTCAAACTGCAGATAACTAACAGTGATTACTCCGAGTTGTTAATGATAAGATAAAGAGAAATCAAAACAGCTGTTTTTACCTGATGCCCAACAGACTGGCAGAGGTGACAATCACTGTGAAAGATAGTCCCTGATTAAGCTGGGAATTGGTACAACGATTCCAGAAAACAATTAGGAATTATGCTGAGAAAGGGACTGAAATGTCCATATACTTTGACCCTGAAACCCCATTGTTCACTGTGTATACCTAGATGTTCACATCAGCCCTTTTCATGGTAACCTAAAACTGGGGACAGAGCCAGTGCCTGTGTATTGGAGAATGGTGAAGTAAATTGTGGTACATGAATGGAATGGAGAATTACTGTACCATAAGAAACACTGATTGAAGAATTCAGAGAAACTTAGAAAAATTCATATGTGTTGATACAGAGTAAAATCAGCAGAACCAGGAAAACTATTTACGCAATGCCTATAATAATACAAATGGGAAAGGCAAAAAAGAAATGCTTTCTAATCATGTGAACCAAGGTTGGCATCAGCCAGGAATTGAGGAGTTGCTCCCTCCCCTTGACTGAAGATGGGGGACTGTGGATATAGAACACTGCATGCACTTTCAGTCAGTTAAGAAACATCTATGGAGTACGTGGAATTAGCAACGTAAAGACAAACCTGGGGTTCACAGTCATGACCAATAGTCTAATCTAGTTAGTTTTGCTGAGTTGGTTTTTTCCACATTCTTTTTAATCTATAAGAAGTAGCTTGCTGGGGTAAAAGATATATATTTCAAAAATGAATGTTTTATAAAAACAAAGGCGTCAATGAGTTAAATTTATTTTTAAAAAGAAAACAGAGGGAAAAGAGACAGTCTAGGAACTGCCTTCTCCCTCCTCTCTAAAGATGTAGGGCTTTTGGAGAAGAGTACAATGATGGCGAATCATAGCGTTTCAGAAAAGCCAGAGGACCTGAGATAGCATGGCTTGGACAGGCTCCTCTTCTGTAAAATATGGATAATTACACCTACAAAGAAATAAGTGAGGCAGCCTGCAGCAGTGGAAGGGGCCCTGGATTCGAATCCCAGCTTTGCCAAAGATAGTGCTTGCTATCTTTCTGACCTTGGGTAAGTCGCTTAATCTCTTGGGGTCCTCAGTTTCCTTGTCTATAAAATGAGAGGCTTGGAATGGATAGTCTCTAAGCTTCCTTGCAGCTCCAGAATTTTCTGATCTTCTGATCCTAACTGGTTGTCTCGCCCCCACTTGAAACACCTCCAGGGATGGGGGTCATAATTCTGTTTAGTGCTCTATTCCATTGTTGAACAACCCAGTAAGAGACATTTCCTTAGCTCTCTGTATAGAAGAAGGGTGTGTTGTAAACCCCAGATGGCCAGTGACCAGTGCAGGGGTCACTCCATTACTCTGAGCCTCAGTGTCCTCTTCTGTAAAATGAGGCAATAACTCTTGTGTCCCCTCACTCACAGGGCTGGCGTGAAGATCAAAGGAGTTCTCATGTAGAAAACACTTGAGTGGTAAAGTGCTATGAAAATGTCAGTTGTGGTTTTCTTTCTTACTGTCGCTGAGCAGATTCCCCTTCCCAGTTATTACCATGACAAATGGAAAAGGAAAAGTCTTGGCAACTGGGCTCCCTCTGGAGTATTGCCAGATATCTGAGGAAGCCTCCTTACCATGGCTGTCATCGCCCTCCACATCTGAAAGAGAATAGGAAGAGCTTCCCTGAAATGAGCCCTTGGGCCATGAGATGGCTCTGTCAGAGTCTGTGACAGGGCCAAACTAGTTGTCTGTCTATCCAGTCATTGGAGTTTACCGCTTAGGATGAGGACTGAGAAAAGGCCACTGCAGTGAGAGATGAAGGGGTCATCGGTAAGTTTAGAGAGAGGAGGTAGTTTCTGTTGAATGATGAGGTCTGAAGCCAGACTGCAGAGAGCAGAGAAGCAGGTGAGAGAAAAGGAAGAGGAGACATAGATTGTTGACAGCCTTCTCTGGGAACTAAGCCAGGAAATAGAGAAGAGATACGGGATGGGAGAGAGTGGGCCTGTAGGCATGTTGGTCGTCCAGAAGCAGCCAGGAGATGGGGAGAGTGAGGGGGGACGGAAAGGCAGTGTGCCCGATAAAATGGACTGGGATGGAATAACTTCTCTACGTGTAGAGGGCTTGGCCTTGGCGAGGAGCAGCGCCATCTCCTGATGTGAGGTGGATGAAGTACAAGAGAGTGTGCAGAAAGCATATGAATGGTGAGGCCAGGAGGAGGGGGAGATCTTGGTGAATTACCTGGGGCGGGGTGGGGGGGGAGAAGGGGAGGGATAAGAAGGTTTGAAAGAGCTCCTGTGGAGGTTGGCATGGTGAGGTGGTAAGGGAGGTCGAGTAGGATTGCCTAGCTGCAGCAAAGACCTGGCTGAAGTCATGTAACATAAATTTGTTGTGGACCTAGTGAGAACGGTTGTGTGATTTTTCTCCAGTGTCATTCATCAACACATGCACAGGAACAAAAGCAGTGGATATTTAGGAGTGACCAAGGTTGAGGTTTGACCAAGGGAGGAGTGTGTGGCCACAGCAGAGGAGATAGCCTCAGAAAGAACCGAGCAGTGGAGGGATTGGAGATCACAGTAAGGATGAAGAGCAGGGTTCAGGGTTGCCCAGTAGAGGGGAAGGGAGAATGACAGCAGACTGATCACAGGAGGAAATTTGAGAGTTCCTAGGCATGGAGGCAATGGTGAGATCTCAGGTTCCCAGTAATTGTCTTCACAGTCGGGATTTGGGATTACATGATTAGCTGACCCAAAGGATCAGTGATCTGGGGATTCCGAGAGCCTGTGAATCTACCATCCTATCATTCTTGTTCCAGACATCGTCTAAATGTAAAGGCTTTGAGGTCTACAAAGTAAGCCACATCTCTGCCTCCCTTCTACAGGAAGCCTTTCCTGACCGCCATTAATTCTAGTGCCTTTCCTCTGCTGATTGTTTTTGGGGGTACATTTTCTTTCCTTCTTTTTTTCTTGAGGCCATTGGCATTAAGTGACTTGCCCAGGGTCACATAGCTAGCAAGTGTCTGAGGCCGTATTTGAACTCAGGCCCTCCTGACCCCAGGGCCAGTGCTCTATCCACTGCACCACCTAGCTGCCCCTTCTGTTAATTATTTTTAATTTATCCTGTTTAAGCTTATTTGTACCTAGTTGTTGGTGTGTTGTCCTTCCTCCTTTAGACTATGAGCTCCTTGAGGGTAGGACCTGTCTTCTGTCTTTCCTTGTGTCTCCAGTACTTAGCGCAGTGCTTGGCATGTCGTAGGCACTTAATAAATGCTTGTTGACTGACTGGGATAGTATGTATGTGTGCATAGACATAGTCATAAAGAGTAAGTGCTACTATTGTCTCCATTTTGCAGATGAGGAAACCAAGCCTTAAAGAAGTTAAGTGACTTTCCAGGGTCTCCTTGAGGTTAGGGCAGCTTTGAGCAAAGCCTCAAAGCTTCGTCCAGAGCTGAGCTGCTGTGGCCCTTGTGCTATTGTCTCTGCAGGTGAATTTTAACGAGCCACTCTCCATGCTCCAGCGGCTCACTGAGGACCTGGAGTACCACGAGCTGCTGGACAAGGCCGTCAAGTGTGAGAACTCCACAGAGCAGATGTGCTTTGTGGCTGCCTTCTCAGTGTCTTCCTACTCCACTACCGTCAACCGCATAGCTAAGCCATTCAATCCCATGCTGGGAGAAACCTTTGAGCTGGACCAGATGGAAGAGATGGGCCTCCGTTCCCTCTGTGAGCAGGTAGGAAGCACACAGCGTCTCGGCCCACGCGGGATTGAATCCTGGTTTGGAGGGGATTAGGGGAACCCCGAGGTCCCTTTGTAAGCATCGGGCAAACCTCCAGGCACATTGAGGTGTGATTTGAAGAAGTCATTGCCGGTCCCCATAATGATCTGGCAGGGCTGCCTGGCCTGCTTCTAGACAAGGCCCCTGAACTTCCATCAGGACTCCTGCCTTCAAGAGGCTGCCCCCTTTGTTCAGACGCAATTTTAGAAAGAATTTCAATGAGACTGTCTAATGGCATTAGCTCTGAATGGAAATTGATTTTCTTAAACCACTCAGTAAGTGAAAGGAGGCAGGAACACTGAGTAGAGAGTGTGACTGAGTGCAGGACGCTGGGCCCAGGACCAGAGACACCATGCCCCAGGGGAGCTAGAAGAAAGGAGAGGAAATCAGAGACCTGCAGATCTGGGACAAGGGACAGTCAGAGGCAATGCCAGATGAAGGTGTCAGAAGTCATTGACATCTCCAGAGGACATGAAGCATGGCAGTAAATAAAAGCACTTACTAAGTGCTTGCTATGTGCCAGGCCTTGTGCCCTCAAGGAGCTTATAGTCTAATGGGGAGACGTGTCCATACAAAATAGAGCAAATGGAAGGTCATCTCAGGATGGTAAGCAGCAGAGGGGATGGAAGCCAGCCCCTGGGGATGAGGAGGGCCAGGAGATGAGTGAGGCAGGAGAAGGGGGACAGGGGACAGCCGGAGCAAAAGGCTGGAAATGGGTTGCAGTGTTCTTGGCAAGGGCCAGCAAGGAGGCCAGCCAGCACTAGACAGGTGGGAAGAGAGCAGGTCCTGAAGAGCTTTAAATGCCAGCCAGAGGGCTTTCTGTTGTATCCTGGAGGCCACATTGAGGAGGGAGGTGACATTGGAGTGGACCAGGGATTCGAATGGGGACAGACTCAAGGCAGGGGGAGGAATTAAAAGCTATTGCATGTGGAAATCTGCCTAATGGGTGTCATGTTTTTGCCTTCTCAGTCGGTGGGTAGGGGGACAATTTGGAACTGAAAATAAAGGAAGGCAAGAGTTGAAGAGGGCTATGAGATCAAAGAGGCAACATGTATGAGAAGTATTGGAAAGACAGAAACAATGAAATGATAAAATATGGCAACATGCTGGATATGGAGGGTGAATGAAAGTGAAGGGCTGAGGATGACATTGAAGATGGTACATCTGGGTGACTCCTGATGGTCCCACAGAGGTTGCGAAAGGGGGAAGGTTTAGGGTGAAGATTGTGTTTGGAACTTGTAGAGTTGAAGTGTCAGTGGGGCATCCTAGTTTTAGAGGAACAAAAGGTAATCAATGGAAGGCCAGGGCTGGATCCACAGATCTAGTAATCATCAGCCAGGAGATGGTAATTGACCCTATGGGAGCTGATGAGATCAGCCAGGGAGGTTAGCGTCGGGGAAGCCCAGAGAAGAGAGAATGACTGACGGTGTCAGAGGCCACAGAGAGGCCGAGGGGGATGAGGACTGAGGAGAGGCCATCGGGTTTGGTGACTTTGGAGAGAGCAGAGTCAGTCGAATGATGAGGCAGAGGTCTGTCTAGACCAGGGCTGGGGAACCCATGGCCCTATCAGGTGCGGCCCTTTGAATCCAAACTTCACAGGACAGATTCCCATAATAAAAGGATTTGTTCTGTAAAGTGTGGACTCAGTCAAAAGGCCACACCCGAGGACCTAGAGGGCCACAGGTTCCCTACCTCTGGTCTAGAGTGCAGCAGATTTAGAGGAGTGTGAGAGATGAGGTGGAGGCACTGAGTGTAGATGGCCTTCTTAAGGAGTTCAGCCACAAAAGCAGGAGAGAGAAGATGGTTGTATTGAGAATGGGGGACATGCGGGCCAGTTTGTAAACAAGGAGCAGTTAGAGATAAGTGAGAGAATAGGGATGAGAGTGGGTCCAGAGAAGAGCAACCAGAATGTGAGAGGTGTGAAGATCCCTGGAAAGAAGTTGGGCTGTGTAGCCTGGAGAAGAGAAGAGAAGAGACAGTGACTGGCTCCTGGTGTTTGAAGAGCTGGGCACGGACAAAGAGGATTTCCATTTGTTCTGCTTGGCCTTAGAGAAGAGAACTGGGGACAGCGGGCTTTCCAAGGAAGCAGATGTTGACTGTATATCAGGACAAAAGGATGTTCAAGAAAACTTGTCCAAAAGTGGTGATTTTTCCATCCCTGGCAGTCTCCCCAGTGGAGTCTGGAGGAACATTTGTTGGGGTGGCCACTGAGGGCGTTCTTGTTCAGTTAGGTGATTTCTCAACCCCCTTCCAGATCTGAGATTCTGTGATTATAAGTGCCTGCCCTGGGCCTTCTAGATATCAGCTACCTCTGTCCTTGTAGATCGCCTTCAAGGAGATGCCACTTTAGAACCTAGCAGCCAGACATCCCAGAGCCCCAGCCGAGATCAGCCGGGAAGGGGACTAGGCACATGGCATATGAGCCTCTCTTGCCCTTCTCCCATTCCCCCAGTAACTAGCACAGTGGTCCCTCACACTTCTTCTTTCTTCCAGAACCAGAGCCTGAGATGTGGCCTCTTCCATTCACCAGTTAGGGATTGAGGCCTGCGATGTGTTGTCTCTGTGTGTTGTTGTGATAGGGGGAGACTTTGAATCAGAAACCCCAGAAAAAATCAGGGTTGGGTCCTGGCTCACCGTGTCCCTCTCCCTCACATACGGAGCTGCCCTCCTGTCTGCCTCCTAGCAGCTCACCGTGTCTTTTACCCATCCTTCCTTTTCCCAGGATTCTGCAATACCTTCTTAGAGTTCAGTCTGATTTCAATCACTATTGTCTACAGAATTGTCCTAAGTATACAGGAGAAAGCAGGCAAACAAGCCCTGCTTCCAGGGAGCCTGCCTTCTCCTAAACAGGTCCTGTACAAAGTGAATACAAAACCTTTGGGGAAGGGGGCGGAGCACAAAGAGCTTAGGGCATCAGGAAAGCCTCTCAGGAAGTCGCAGCCACACCAAGGTCCAGAGGAGCTCTCTACTGGCACCCCCAATCTGCCCCTGTTGACATGAGACCCGCCCTCAGGTCCTCAAGTGTCACTCCCTTAGCCTGCTTCCCAAGTAGAAATTGTTTGTGCTCAGATCTCCCATTGTAGCTCTCTTCTTTTGTACTCTGGTCACATGCATCCCTGTTGTGGCCATCCCATGAGATTCTGTGAGGGCAAGGACCATACTTTATTCTTCAACAACTTTGTATGGTCCCTGGTGCCTAACGTTTTGGAGTGCCTCCTCTGTCTCTTGTTCTGAGCACCTAGGGATGCAGAGATGAAAAAAAAAATTACCTTTCAGGCAATCCACAAACGTTTATTAAGCACCTGCCATGCATGGTAACTTGAGATTCATCGGAGACCGTAGATTTTGAAAATCCCCAAGCGTCATTGGAAGAATATCAGTGTTAAGAAGCAAAGCTTGTTCAGCAGCCTATAGATTGGGCTCATTGGAAGGGCTGCCTGGCAAGGTGTCCACCTGCTCATTTCTGGCCAGATGACCGTCCAGTCACATTCCCAAGAGGTTGGGGGTGATGGAAAGAGCAGGACATTTGGTGTGAGAGAACCTGGGCTGGATCCCAGTTCTGCTGCGTGATATTGTTTGACTTGAGGTAAGTCACCTACCCTCTCTAAGCCTCACTTCTCTCATTTGTAAATAAGGGGTTGAATTAAGAGGATGCAGTTAGCTCTGCATCTGTGGAGCTGTGATGATCCTATAATCCTTCCCACAAGTTGTGTGATGATGGAGAAACTCAGTAACTCATCCATCTAGTTAGGTGTCATAATCTGGGCAGTGGGCATTCATCACTCATGTTTTACATCACTGTCTGGGACAGGGGAGCACAAATAACCTAACTTTCTGGTCCTTTATAAGAAAGATTAAATTAAAATACCATTATAGCCTTTGGAAGGATGTGGAGTTGGAGGCGTAAGCAGCAAATATTGCCCATATCTGGGCTCTAGTAGAGGGAGCCTAGAATTGTGAAGGATGCTGTTAGTGTCAACAGGAAAGTGGACCCCTTGACTCTGATATGTTCAGACTTGGAGAAGATCTCTCTTGTGTCAGCACTGCGTACAGCAAGCTGGACCCAGTGCCTGCACATTTGAACCATCCCTGCATCCTGGGCAGAGTTTTCCAGCCTAATAGAAGCAAGTAGTGTCAGGGAACATCCCATGAGCACTTGCTCTCCAGTCTCAGAAGTGGAGCCTTAGCTACCAAGCTTTGGTGATTTTCCAATGTGAAAAAAAAGGAAGAGTTGTTTGAGGCAGAAGCTCGAGTAAGCAAGAGGACAGGCGTGTTCCCATGATGTGGGTTGGATGGGGGATGTGCCAGAGGAGCGGCTCACAGTGTCGAGCTCCTGACGCCTGACCGTTCTGGGGATGATACTGGAAGGTCCCTTTGTCTGTGATGGATGACCTCGGAGACCTGATGATCAGTGGCATCACTCTAACAGTCCGCCCAGCAGATCCTGTGCGTCACCTGTAGTGGTGGTGCCAAAGAAGAATGGAAAGATAAGGATGTGCATGGAATGGGTGCACCAGAGTGGCCCATGCTCTGGATTAGGCAGCCAGGGGGCACCTGCCACGTTCCACTACCTGTTGGAAAAAGCAGTGGCAAGATGAACCACGTGCACCTGCGAGTGTCGGTCTTTCTTAATGATATCATTGTCTTCAAGAAGACCGGAGAAGAATGTTGGGAGAGACTGAAGAAAGCTCGAAGACAGCGGCCCAAAGCTTCGTGCGGAAAGTGCCAGTTGTGTGGTGCCCCCATCCAGGCTGGCAGCCACACTGCGTGTCAGCAGGGCGTAAGTGATAACCTGTACAAGACAGAAGCTCCTCTCGTAGCGGGTGGGTGGGACTTTCTCACTTCTGTCCAATCTTAATTATGATAATTTCATAGAGTCCAGTTGAGATGGTGGTGTTGCTGTTTTTTCTATTTAAAATGTTGGCATCTTTGTTTGTATCTTGCTCTCCTGGTTCTGCTTCTTTCACTTTGCATCAGTTCTAATAAATCTTTCAGTCACTATTTCTGATAACTCCGTAATATTCTATACATCCATGTACCACTTGTTTAGGCAGTCCTCAGTTGATAGATTGTTTCCAGGTCTTTGCATCTACAAAAAGAGTTGCTGCAAATAAGCTGGTATGTTGGGGCCCTTTACTTTTACTGTGGACCTCCTTAGGGGGACAGTTGTCCTTCATTCTTGAAGAGGATCAAAATGACATCACCATGTTGGGGCCAAGTTACGGTGTGTCTGGCTCTGACTGATCAGACCCATTATGTGAGGTCTGAAGGTTCTACCACAGCTTGGGCACAAATAGCACATAGGAACAGTCAGAGTGGAGATGTCTCTGAATTTGCACATCTCATACTTCTTTTGAGCTACCGTGGTTCTGCTTTGCATGTGGGCATGCCATGCTGAGTGGTCCCGTGTCTTGCAACCGATTCCACAGTTCTTCAGAGAGACCTTGAGAGTATCCTTGTATCACTTCTTCTGACCTCCATATGAACACTTGCCTTGTGTGAGTTCACTGTACAGTAGTCTTTTAGGCAAATGTTTGTCATTTGAACAACATGGCCAGCCCATTGGAGTGGCATTCTCTGCAATAGAGTTTGAATGCTTGGCGGTTCAGCTCCAGAAAGGGCTTCATTATCCAGCACCGTATTTTGCCAGGGCATCTTCAGAATCCTCCTAAGACAGTTCAGATGGAAGCAGTTCAGTTTCCTGGCATGGTGCTGGTAGACTGCCCAGCTTTCACAGCCGTGCAACAACAAGGTCAGCACAGCGGCTCTGTAGCTCTTCAGGTTGGTGGGCAGTCTAATATCTCCCTCTTCTTTCCCACACTTTCTCTTGGGAGCCTCCCAGACACTGAGCTGGCTCTAGCTCACCATCTCGATGACATGCTGCCAAGGTAAGTGAACGTATCACAGCATTCAGAGCTCCTCCATTTACGTGACCAGTGGTTCCACAGATGGATGGGGGAGAACCTCTGCTTTCTTTGTGCACAGGTGGCAAAGAATCCATACTCTGTTACATCTCGGCCTCAGAGGCTGCACTGAGTGTGCAATCATCTGCAAACAAAGAGTTGCGCACCAGCTCTCCTTCCACTTTAGTCTTGGCTTGTAGCCTTTTCAAGTGAAATATTTACCACCAGTGGGGTAGCTGACCTCGATGCCATTTTTGTCCTCATCAAAAGCGTCTAGCAACATTGCTAAAAACATCATGCTAAAAACTATAGGAGTGGGGCAGCTAGGCGGTGCAGTGGATAGAGCACCGGCCCTGGATTCAGGAGGACCTGAGTTCAAATCCGGCCTCAGACGTATAACACTTGCTAGCTGTGTGACCCTGGGCAAGTCACTTAACCCCATTGCCTAACCCCTCCCTCCCCCCAAAAAAATAAATAAATAAAAAGCATGGGAGCAAGCACACAGCCCTGCTTCAATCTGTGGGTGACTGGGAAAGCTCAAGAGCATCATCCGTGATGTCTAATGGTATTCCAAACCTCTTCTCCAGTTAGAAGTTCAGCTACAGAGAGACTGCCTTCAGCCTGAGGCACACGGTCAGGGCCTCAGCGTTGGCTGACAGATTCTCTGTTGACCTCCTTGGGGTAGGTGGCTAGCAGTGGCTGTTGTTGTTTGTCCTTCATTCTGGAAGAGGATCATGACATCAGGAAGGTGATGCCAGGACTTGCAGGTAGATTGGATTGAGGTAAGGGAGGGCTGGGCAAGGTCAGCAGCCTCATTCTCACCTCCAGAGCCTTTGGTTCCAAGTAACCAGATAAAGATCAGGATGCCTGGAGATGGACCTGGAGGCAGTGGGAGACTTGGCCTTTTTAAGGTCTTTAACAGGTCTCAGTGGAACTGAGGCTCACGATGGAGTCTTTGGGTCAGAGAGTATGGACACGACTCACTTTTGTAGCATGACTCCACATTGCTGTCCAGAATGGTTGGACCGGTTCACAGTTCCACCAAGAGGGCGTGATTGTGTCGGCACTTCCACAGGCCCTCTCACGTTGACTTTGTTCATTTTGATCAATCTGTGCCAGTTTTCTGGTGATGGCGTAAAACCTCAGAAGACGATTTGAATGTTTCTTATTGTCCTACTCTTGTTTTTAGGTGAGTCACCACCCTCCTGCAGCTGCCCACCATGTGTTCTCCAAAAATGGCTGGACCCTATGGCAGGAAATCACCATCTCCAGCAAGTTCCGGGGCAAATACCTCTCCATTATGCCACTAGGTAAGAGCACATATTACAGTGAAAAAAAGAAACCAAGTAGTGACATGTGGACAATGGTTTATTTAGCAAAGCATGCCGGTGCAGAAACAAATCGAGTCCGAGGTTCTCAGTAGCCAAGGACCTTGACCGCTGTTTTCTACACAGTTAATGTACAATCTGGAGCAGTTTATTATGGAGGATGGGGGTTCAGAAGAGAAATTAGAATATTGTGTTGATTTGGGAGTCATCAGCATAGAAATTATTTTCTGAGCCTGGGAGGGTGCAGTGAACTAAGCGAAGGCCGAGGGCAGGACTTTTTAAGACACCCCCACAGTCCCAGTGAGGGGGCAGAAGGTGGTGATGGAGGGGGCAGAAGGTGGTGATGAAGTGGGCAGAGACTCAGCAATCCTCTGGGTGCTAAAGCTGGTAAGGACGTTAGACTATAGAGCAGAGGTCAGAGCTGGGAAGGCCCGTGAGCACAGAACAGTAGAGCTACCCAGGTGTGTGAGGATACAGAGTCACCAGAATGTCTGAGCTAGATTGTCCAGCTCTAAGGTAATGCTCACTCCCCTCCACTCCTGCTTTTCCCACCCACCCCCAGCTGCCTCTCTTTGCAAGGGCCCTCAAGGCTGTCTCATTTACCTCAAGGCTTATCAGGCCTAGAGATGGCCTGAGCCTTGACGGAGTGAGGCTTTGGCCCTGGGCCAGCTTCCTGTGTCATCCATCTGGAGGGATCTCGGAGGGATTTTCTGATAAGAGGGCTCATTTCCAAGGCATCCTTGTGGGAGTACCATTCACCACCTCCCCAGAGAGTCACAAACGGTTTTCTCAGGTGAATGGTTTTAAATCTGTTTCTCCCAAGAAGCCAGGCTCGACTGACTTGGGAAGGAATTTTTTCCTTAGAACCAAGTATATCTTTTAAACATAGAGTCCACCTGGGAATGCTGCCTGTATACCGCTTGGCCTTGGAGTTCCCTCGACAGCTCTCGGGGTCTCCTTACTGGTCAGGATATCCACTTCTCTCTCCATCTTCACCCAGCATCAAGACCCAGGGTCACTGGGTTTAGAGCTTTGGAGATTATCTGGTCCAATCTCTCCTCCAGTTCCTACATTTTCAGAAGAAACTGAGGCCTGTAGAGTGAAAAGTCAGTAAGCATTGAAGTGTCTCCTGTTTACCAGGCTCTGTGCCAAGGACTGGAGATACAAAGAGAGGAAGAAGAGAGACCCTGCCCTCAAGGAGCTCCCAGTCTGCTGGGAGAGACAAGAAGCAAACACACATGTACAAACAAGCCGTGGGCAGGAGGGAAGGCACTGGGATTCAGAGGGGTTGCGGAAGGCTTCCTGGAGGAGGCGGGGGTTTATTTGGGAGCTCAGAAAGCAGAGAGAAGGAGGGAGAAGGTTCCTGGTCTGGGGCACAGCCGAGAGATGAGTTCGGCCCCTGAGTGGCTTCCCAGCATTGCTCCCCTTCAGAACCAGGGCCAGAAGTGCATTGTCTTGGCCCCCAACTGAGGAGGCTTCTGCCTGCCAGGCATTCCTCCCCCCTACCCTTGCTCCAACCTAAAGAGGCTGTAGACTAGAATCCCCTTGGCATCCGTGAGAAGTCAAGAGAAGGGATACCAGGAAGCTCAGTGAGAATTAGATTTCTGTTCTCATTAGAAGAATTCCTTGGCCTTTGGGCCTATGGGCCTCCTGTGCGTCATTTAGGGGATTATACCTCAATCTACACCCTCCCTTCCGAATCTGGGATTTGTGATTCTGACGGACAGAACACTGGGCTTTGAGTCACCAGAAATGGGTTTGAATCCTGATGATAGTGAACCATATGACTTTGGACAAGTCACTTCACATGTCTCAGCCTCAGTTTTCTCAGCTGTGAAATGGGAATGTTAAGACTGGCTCTCCATCCCTCCCAGGGCTTTCATGAGGGGAGTTCTAGTTTGAAGCTAGAAATGGGAATGGTGATGGCAGTGATATTTGTCTTTCTTTCTTTTATGGGTTTTTTTTTCAGCATTCTTTTCTTTTTAAATTTTGAGTTCCAGATTTCCTCTCTTTCACACATTCCCCACCCACTGAGAAGACAAACACTATGATATCATTATACATGGAAAATCATGCAAAATACATTTTGTATTAGCCATATTGAAAGAAGAAGGAAGGAAAGAAAGAAAGAAGAGGAAGAAAACTGTGCTTCGGTCAGCACTCAGTTCATCAGCTCTTTCTCTGGAGGTGGAGAGCATTTTTGATCATGAGTCCTTTGGAACTGTCTTCTTGCACATTGCCTTGATCAGAGTGGCCAAGTCGGACACAGTTGATGACCATTACGACGCTGCTGTTAGTGTGCACATTGATCTCCTGGTTCTTCACACTTCACCTTGCATCTTTTCTTGTGGGTCTTGCCACGTTTTTCTGAAACCATCCTCCTCACCGTTTCTTGGAGCCCAACAGTATCATCACAGTCTTAGGCCACAGCTTGCTCAGCCTTTCCCCAGTCATTTTCCAGTTCTTTGCCTCCACAAAAAGAGCTACTCCAAATGTTTTTGGACATGTGGGTCCTTTTCCCTTTTCTTGGATCTCTTTGGGATAGAGACCTGTATTGCTGGGTCAGAGGGCATGCAGTTTTATAGGCCTTTGGACAGCATTTCAAGTTGCTCTCCAGAAAGGTCAGACCAGTTCACAACTCCACCAGCAGTTCATTCGTGTCTCTATCTTTGCCTCATCCCCCTGCAGTATTTGTCATTTCTGATAGGTGTGAGATGGTAGCTCAGAGTTGTCTCAGTTTGCCTCTCTCTAATCAATAGTGCTTTGGGGCATTTTTTCGTATGACTGTGGATAGGTTTGATTTCTTCTCAATGCTGCCAGTTTATATCATTTGACCATTTGTCAATTGGGGAATGACTCATATTTCTACAAATTAGACTCAGTTCCCTATATGTTTGAGAAATGAGGCCTTTATCAGGAAAACTTGCTGTAAAATTTTCTGATATTATTTAATTATCTATGGTATCTTTTAGCAAAAAGCGGGAGCAAAATGTAGCAAAACCTCTCAATCAGGCCTAATTTCGCTTTTGCTTTGCCAAGATCATGATATCCCCCATCCCACTGCCCAACCTCCCACACAATACAGGGATCCCCTCTCAGACCATTTCTGGCATCCCCAGCCTCAACTCCAGAGTGTGCAGCAAACCCCAGCCCAGCCACCCCACATGGCCCATTTGGGGTACAGCTTCAGTGTTAAAACAGTTGCTGCAGGTACAGAAACTGAAAGGTGAGTCTTATGGCCCTCCGTCCTTAGAACCTGGACTGTCCAAGCTCAGAGAGGGCCTGGAAGAGATCGAACCTGACTCTCTCACTGACTTTTTGCTCCCCTCATATCTATGTTGCTCTTTATACTTTTCAAAGCATTTTAAAAATTGTTATTATCTTTTTTTTTCACATCACCTTGACTCTACATACAGAGTAAGTCTCTTCTCATAACAAATAAAAAGAAGTAAGAAGAAAACTAGCAAGTCAGCAGAATCCGCCAAGATGTGCAAGTCAGCAGAAGAACATGCGTGCAGTCCGATGAGAGTGCATGCAGCAGCCTCCCGGGGGGGGAGGGGGGCGCGGCAGGTGTCCTTTCTCTCTCTCTCTCTTTTTTTTGGGGGGGGGACAGTGAGGCGATTGAGATTAAGTGCTTTGTCCAGAGTCACACAGCTGGTAAGTGTTATGTGTCTGAGGCCAGATTTGAACTCAAGGCGGGCACTGTATCCACTGCACCACCCAGCTGCCCCACAGCTGTCCTTTCAGCGCTCTTCTCTGGGGCCAGCCGAGGCCATGAGGGCAATGCAGCCATCTTTTCAGTATTTCTCTTGTTGTTCCTTCCATTTACTTTGTTGAAGTGGCTGTAGGTCTTGTCAAAGCATTCTCAGTACAATGTCTTATTTTACACTAATATCAAAGAAGGAGGAAAGGGAGCCATGTGTACAAAAATGCTTCTAGCAGCTCTTTTTGTGGTGGCAAAGAATTGGAAACTGAGGGATGCCCTTCCACTGGGGAGTGGTCGAACAAGTAATGAAGTATATGAATGGGATGGAGTGCCACTGTACTTTAAGAAATGGTGAAGGAGATGGTTTCAGAGAACCCTAGAAAGACTTGCTTGAACTGACACAAAGTGAAGTGAGCAGAACCAGAAGGGCAGTTTATACCATGATAACAGCGTTTTAGAGAAAAACAACTGGAAAAGACATTAGAACTTTGACACTGAAGATGAAACATGGCACTCCCCTCCTGTTATAGATGCAGCAGACTCTCAGCCCGTGGAGGAATTTGTTTGCATAATTTTGCATATTTATTATGAAGGTTTTGTTTGTTTGTTTTCTGGTGGGAGTGAGGTATGAGAGAAAGAAAATCTCTTTTCATTGGGGAAAAAAATATTAGTGTGACTCTCCCACCCCCCTGAGGTCATTAGAGGGAGAGGGCGAGTGGGAGAGCCAGGACTCGCAGTGGGTGCCCTCTTCTCACCAGCCATCCCGTTTTTCACTGCATAAGCTGTGACTTCTCACCTTTTTCTTTCCCCCAGGTGCCATTCACCTAGAATTCCAAGCCAGCGGGAATCACTACATCTGGCGGAAGAGCACCTCCACTGTGCACAATATCATCGTGGGCAAGCTCTGGATTGACCAGGTCAGAGCGGGCCTCCCGCCTCCTACCCTTCTCCCTAGGCCACGGTCCAGGGGCAGCACCGAGCTGCTGGGGGTTTGATTTTGGTTTTGTTTTTCTTTATGGTGAGGCAGTCAGGGTTAAGTGACTTGCCCAGGGTCACACAGCTAATAAGCGTCATGTGTCTGAGGTCGGATTTGAACTCAAGTCCTCCTGACTTCAGGGCCGGTGCTCTATCCACCGCACCACCTAGCTGTCCCCAAGCTGCTGTTTTCCAATCCCTGGGAAAAGAAGGTCTTGATGGTGTTGTAGAAACGGGATGTCAGAGCCCAAAAGGCCTTTAGAAGAGCATCGAGTCTGCAATTCAAGGGCCCAGATGCAAACGTCCCCTGGCCACTGACTCCCTCGGTGACCTTGGACAGGTCATTTGACTCTGGGTCTGCCTGTAGGATCCTGGAATCTCTGAGCATGAGAAAGGCCTTATGCAGAGCAAGTGTGGGGGCTGGAAAAGAACCTTAGAGCCAAGGGAAGAATAGACATGGGCCTCTGGCGGTGGTCAGAGGGGCCCAGTGGCAGAGCCAGGACCACAATACGGGCTTCCGTCTGTGACCTCCAGCTGCGCAGAGCACTCTGTCTCCCAGCATCCCCGGCAATGAGCTGCCCCTGGCCCCGTGGGTCCCATGCCTGCGTCACCCGCCTCCTCAGCCCTCCTCCAGGGCAGGTAGAGCCACGGGCAGCACCAGTGCGGACCTCCCTTCACCTCTCTGTGGGCCACACTCGGGGTCACTAAAGCTAAGGCGAGCGTTCTTTACATAGTTGGGGAAGTTAAGGCCGAGGGAGAGGAAGGGACTTGTCCAAGGCCACACAGGTGGGCAGTGGTAGAACAGCCCTGTTCCTGTGGACCCACCCACAGGCTGGGAGGAACCAAAGAAGGAAGGGGCATAGAACAGCAGGGAGCTCCTGTGGGCCAGGAAAGGCCAGGAAAGCCCACCCTCCTCCCAGTCATGGCAGGCCCTTCCTACCTGGCAGTCCACCAGCATGTAGCTGTGTTGGGCGTACCTGTGTGAGCCAGCGCGGTCACACGTAAGTCACTACAAAGTCATTGGTGGGGTGGGGGAGGACAGATCTGCCCCTTCTTCTCTACTGCCCGCAGAGCAGATGTCTAGGGTGGACAAGCAGAGGGGCTGACGGCCTCCGCGGGGAGGGGAGGGGCCGAGCGCTGGAGCACGGAGCCTGTCGTCCTCTGGCTATCAGTGTGTAGACGTGAAAGCCTGGGCCAGACTGTCACTGCAGGTGAGGGCTTCTGCCCGAGCGCTAGGAAAACAGAAGGTTCTTCTTTGATGGACACCCCCCCCATCCGGCGTCCTCTCAGGTCACTTGTCCACTTTCCCTGGCCCCCTTCCTTTCACACTCGGGGGTCCTCACGGTGCCCGGCCCACAGTAAGCGCTCGATCGGTGCTTGCTGATTGACTTCTTGTGGCATTGTCAGTCACGGCATGGATTTTGGGGAGGAGAGCTGAAGCGGCGAGAGGGGGCAGGCACCGGTGAGGTGAAGCTGGGGCCGCGGCCCTGACCAGCCCTGACCTCTCTCTGTCCGTTGTTCTCTAGACAGGAGACATAGAGATCGTTAATCATAAGACAAAGGATAAGTGTCTGCTGAAGTTTACACCCTACAGCTACTTCTCAAAAGACTACACCCGAAAGGTAGGCTTGGGGAGCTGCGGGACAGGGATCATGGGCAAGCCCTGGAAGGACAGGGAGAAGGACTGTCAGGCTTTCTGTCATTTCTGAAGTCTCCAGAGGGCCTAGAGCAGAGCACATCAGGGGAGGTCAGGGCTGGGAGGGGATGTGGAGCTTACCTAATTCTAGCCTCACCTCTGTAGTGAAAAGGAGGAAGTTGAGAATCAGCATAAATTGAATCTCCCTGGGCCCTAGGATGAGGCTGTAAGAGGAAGCAACCAGTTTTTTTCCCCAACAACCACCAAGAACTTGGGGCTCTCCAGTGGGGGGTGTAAGGGTCCCCCTCTCGACCGAAGCCTTGGTGGGAGCTGGGCCCCTGGACTCCTGAAGGTGACAAGCCCCTCCTTGCTTCAGGTCACCGGGGTGGTGACAGATAGCAAAGAGAAAGCCCATTACGTGCTGTCGGGCTCCTGGGATGAGAAGATGGAGTGTGCCAAGATCATTCAGAGCAGCCACAGTAGCCCCAGCACGGAGGGCAAGCAGAAGATGGTCTACCAGACCCTGCCAGCCAAGCTCCTGTGGAAGAAGTACCCTCTGCCGTGAGTGAGCCCTTTGTCCAGCCCGGGAACCAGAACCCGATGCTGACCCGAGGGGCAGAGAAGGGCCCAGGCACCCAGGAGGGGCTACCTGGCCTCACTAGCCACCAATGGTGATAAAGGCCATGCTCCACCCATTTCACTGAGACCCAATCCCGGCTCCCCAGAAGAGCCACCTGGAATGTCAGATGCTGGGGGCAGCAGGCAGGGCTCAAGCCTCTTTGGGTCCCACAGATAGTAGGTGCTTAATCAGTGTTGAATTGGTAAGGTAGAAAGGGAGCTCACTTTGGGGTCAGAGGACCTGGCCTTACTCTCACTCTTCCGCTGACGATCAGGGGGACCGGGATCAGTGATTTTCCTCTCCTTTCTGAATCGAGAGCCTTGGGTTAGAGGATCTTTAAGTAAGCTGTGTACCCCCAAGGCCTTGGTCCTTCGACCGCAGTGATCCCATCTGGAGAGAGTGCCCAGCCAGGCCGGCCTGCGCCGCCACTGAGTAGGTGGAGTGCTGGCCTGCCTGCTGTGCTCCCTTAGGAAGCTGAGGCAGAGGGCTGAGACCATTTGTGTAGGGCTGCTTTCTGCCCTCTGAGACTTCACTGTGTTCCTATGGGGGTAAAATGTACACATTTGCATATAAAAATATGTAAATCATAAACTAAACTATGCAAAATGCATAGGAGGAAGACAAAGTGCTTAGAAGATTGAGGGCTCCTGATACCACGGGAGCCCCGAATGAGTCTTTATTTATCCTTTATTGACCGGCCAGTGCCAGGGAGCCCAGAAAAGAGAATGTTGGCGCTGAGAAGAGCCCTGAGTGGAGACTGTTCTCCCCTGGGGAGTGGGCCCAGGAGGTTCAAGGCCACCCTGGAAGAGGCCTGTTGCGCCCCCAGGCAGCTGAGTTGGGCTGGGGGTGGCAGAGGGTCTTGGGAGCTGGTGGGCCTCCTCCAGTGGTCCACCCTCTCTCTGGCCTTTTGCAGGGAGAATGCTGAGAACATGTATTACTTCTCCGAGCTGGCCTTGATCCTGAACGAACCTGAAGAAGGCGTGGCCCCCACGGACAGCCGGTGGAGGCCTGACCAGCGTCTCATGGAGAATGGCCAGTGGGATGAGGCCAATTCTGAGAAACAGCGGCTAGAGGAGAAGCAGAGGATGATCCGCCGTAAGCGCCTGGAGTCCAGTAGCCGCGAGCAACTGGACGAAGGTAAGCCTGGCACCCGGCACCGTTGGTCACTGCCTGCCGCAAAGGAGAGTCAGAGGGTGGGAGAGCAGAGCCCCCAGGCAGGACAGGCAGGGCCCACAGCAGCAGGCACAGAGAGAAGCCTGGAGCTAAAGGTGAACTTCTGGGAAGCTAGACCCCCTCCCCAGGCCCCTGAAGACCCCAGCCCGGAGACTCATCTGAGAGAGAAGCCCAGACTCCTGGACCCAGTTCAGGACCTTCCCCCTTGACTGACATGGGGAGCCCCAGGCTAGGAAGCAGGGGCAGATAGCAGCCAGGGGTCAGGCTCCCGAGGTTCCCCTACAGGCACCCCTTCTCTCTGGCCCCCACAGGGAAGGAAGCCGACCTGCACAAGCCCTTGTGGTTTGAGAAGAAGATGGACCCCTTCACAGGGGAGGAGGCCTACATCTACAAGGGGGGCTACTGGGAGGCCAAGGAAGAGCAGAACTGGTCCATGTGTCCAGACATCTTCTGAGCCGTGGCCTGCCTGCCCCGCTGCTCCTGCGAGCCTGTGGAGCTGGGCGAGGACATAAGAAACCCAACCCTACACGAAAACGCAAATACAACCCACGAGCAGACCAGGGATTCAAACGTATTTTTTTATGCACTAATGAAAATCGCATATTGAATCTCCCTTTCTTTTTTCCCCTTTTCTTCCTTTTTTTTTGCTGATGGTGACTTTTTTCTTTTGTGGGAGTAGTTAGTTACTAAGTACGTCTGGGGAGGACAGGCTGAGTCTGTTTCTTTCTAGCTGGTGTGTAAGCCCCGTCCTCCCCGGCTGACTGAAGCATGGCCTTCCAGAGACACTCAGGAGAGCAGTGGGGAGGGACGGTGTCCCTGGGGGTGTGGTTGGCCTCCTCTCCAGCTCTGATTCGTAGTTCCTCCCAGAAAGACCCCCACTGGAAGACAGGCGTGTCCCTACGGCCGCGGCACCAGGGCTCTCGGAGGAGAAGCCTGGGCAGCCACCTCGGTCCCCCCACCTGCCTGAGGCACTCTCACTCAGGGCTCCCTAGGAAACCCCTTTTTGGACTTTGTTTGATTTTTAAACTGTTGATCTCACTTTCTTTCCAGCCGTGATGTTTAGTAAATATTTTTAGTACAGCACTTACCAGACAGTTTTTCCAAGTGTCCTTTCTTGCCCCAGAAGTGTCCAGGCAAAGACCCGCCTTGTAAGAAACAAGGAAGTGCAAAGCCTTTAGATTGTTGTCAGGTGGCACCTGCCCGAGGGAAGCCCCCTCCTCCTCTCCAGCAGCCCTGAGGCGGTTCATCTTGGTGCTTCCCCAACACCTGCCAGCTCACAAAGACCACTTCTCCCTCTCCTCCGACCTTACCCGGCTTAGGCCGAGCCAGAGGACTGAGGGGCCAGGGCCTCTCTCCTTCCAGCGCCAGCAAGAGCCTCAGGTGGCGCTTTGGACAGCTCAGTGTCCAGCTATCAAGACTTCCCCAGATTGCCAGGAGCGACACCTTGTCCCCAGAGCTGACTGGGCACCACCATGCTGGGCAGAGAGTGAGGAGATGGGCTCCCACCCACGAAGGGGGAAGCCCTGAGCTCAGGGATTTGAGCAGCCACAAGAGTGAGCTGGGACTTGCCCAGGATCCCCAGGGAGCCTCCCAACGGGCTCTCCTGGGACCTCGGCATCCAGTGCTTCCACCCCGAAAGAGAAATGCCCCTCACAAGTCCCAGCAGCACAAAGAAGAGCCAGCAGCACGCAGGCAGAAAGAGACCCCCGGGCAGGGGCCTCTAGTGCAATATTCCCATTCTCCCTTCTGAATTTGAGCCAGCTAGAGGTCTACCCCCTCTCCCACTACTCCAAAACCCCACCCTCCCCCCAGCCAGATGGGTTCTTCTCTTAATTACGAAAGGCACAGATGTGGGCTCAGGGACCTGGTTGGCATCTAGTCCAGCCCCGTCCCTTGCAGAGCAGGGCAGTGCCTTGTCTTACACCCCAAACCCAGGCTTCCTTCCGCGCTCTCTACCACCCAGTCCCTCTCCCAGTCAATCACTTGTCCAGAATCCGGCTAGGGAGAGGCCTCAGGAGGCAGACATCCACTGTAATGAGGTGTCCCGAGCTCCCCTGGAGAGCAGGGTCCAACCGCGCCAGGGGTGTGCGGGTCTCTGACCGTAGGGAGCCCTGGAATGGAAATCGGGGCCTGGCTTCTTTTTTGTACCACCTCTTTCTGCCTCAGTTTCTCCATCAGTAAAACAGTGGCGAGGGTACTCTTCAGTGGCAGCGTGTTATACTGGACAGGCATCTTCAAAGCCAGAGAGCCCTGGGTTCAAGTCCCATGCTCAACTCTTCCTGGCTGCATGATTCTGGACAAGTCATTTCATTTCTCAGGGCTCTAGACCACTCCCTAAGACACTAGATTGCAGAGAAGGCACTGACCTGAGTTTTCTCACCCAGAAGTTCTCTCTACTGATGACGTCCCAGGTTGTAGCCCCTCTCCTTAACTCTCCAACACCGACATTCCCTAGAATAAGGACTCATGAATGAGAAGTGAGCACCCTGGTTACTGTCAGGCATGGACCGGAGAAGATTTGGGGAAAAGGGATGGGAAGATGAGGCCTGTGGGCAGCCACCCCCCAAGTTGGAGGGAGCCTTGTCGAGTGGCCAGCTGGTGGCCAGGGGTGCTCAGACCTGCAAGCCAGTCTCCGCAGAGCCCGGGCCCTAGGAGAGCTCAGAACAGCTTCCTCGTGAGCAGTCAGAACACAGCCCACATATCCCCTCCCAGTGTCTTCCCTCCTCTCTCCGCTCTTCTGCCCTCCCACTGGATCTAAACTAGGCCACAGAAATCAGCAGGAACGCGATCAGCCTGGGGAACTGGCAGAGCAGATGAGGCAGTCAGGCTGCAGAACCCCCAGAGGGCTCCTCTTGCCTGTGCGTGGAGCGGGTACCCTTCGTCTGTCTTGTGGCAGACACCTCGCACTGGGAGTGACATCATAACCATGGTGACTGGGCGATGTGTATGTGTTAGTGGGTGCCAGTATGCCCTCTAATCTTGTACCTACTTGCTTCTGATTTATAAATAGATGATATATATGTACAGATACATATATATATATTTGACCTACATAGATATATATAGGCATCTATTTTGCTTAGATTTCTATAGTAATGGAAAAATGATGATGACAGATGTTCCTGTCTGAGTTTGGTCATACAATAAACGCTCTGCTAAGTTTCTTTCTGTTGTTCAGGTAGGTTCAGCCTCACCATCCAGGAAAGCAGGGGGCAAACTGGATTGGGTAAATGGTGCTGCGTTCTTTGATAAGGTTCAAGGGTTCCCCCAAGATCCGTCCGAGGTTATACACAAAACTGTTTCTACACACACACACACACACACACACACACACCTTGAAGAGGTAGGTCCATTCCAGGTCCCCTGACCAAATGTAGCCTTTTGTCCACCAAGATCCTGGGCCCTTTCCTATTCCCCAGCCCCCCCCAAAAAGTATCATTGTACTCCTGTACCACAAACAGGTCCTGTGGCTCAGACTCTGATTCCTATGGGATTTAGTTGCAGAGAAAGTGTCAGCCCTGATAACTTACTTCCCCGCCCTCGGACAAAAAGGAATTTCCAGTGTACATTCCTTCCTTGTTTTTTCCGGTTTTTTAAACAGCAGCTTCCCCATTATTCTTGGTTCACTTTTGACTCTAAAAACAGGGCTTCTTCCACTCTTAAGATTCTTTGATTTTGTAAAAAGCGGCCTGAAGCCCAAAGTCTCTACCGCCTTATTCCGCTTGGTTTCCTCCCTACCATTCGCGGGGCTGAGGACTTGGCACCCAGCTGCTGCCCCAGAGTCTGTGCTTGCATCCCCAGCATAGCAGGACCATGCTCCTCCCCCCCCCCTTGCCTTCTCTCCAAGAGGGCACAGGCCTCCCAATTTCCATTCCCTACTGGGAATGGGAAAGGGGAAAAGGCTCTACCTGTTATCCCCAGGGAAAAGGTGATTGTTCTCAATTTAGAAAGCCCTCAAGCTTAAAAGGCTCCTTTACAGCAGACAGTGAATCAGAGCCCCACCCTCTTCCTGGCCTGTCACTACAATCTGTGTTGTCAAATGGAATGATTAGACTTGACCTTGTGAGTGGCCACTCCTCCCCTGGGTATTCAGCTTGGACAGGGGTTACCCGGTGTCCTCTCAGCAGGTTTGTCATCTTCTCCTCCAAGGTCAGGAAGAAAGACTGCATGCAGGGGATGCCCCCAAAAAGGCTAACAAAGAGTCCCTGCCCGCAAAGAACTGACACTAGTCACACGACTCGGCATGTACAAGGTGTCTAGTGGGGCAGTGCTCAGAAAGGCACGAGCTGTGGGTGGGAATCAGGCCAGAGCTCCTGTAGAGGTGAGGAAGAGCATTCCTGGCATGGCATGGAGGACCACTTGTGAAAGGAGGGTCGTGGGTGAGCAATTGAAACGAAGCCAGTGCCACTGGCCTGTAGAATTCATTTTCAGGTTGGCTGTGGTAGTCGGGCAGCTAGGTGGCGCCGTAGTGTACCCAGCTCTGGGCCTGGGGTCAGGAAGACATCTCTCTGAGTTCAAATCCATCCTCAGACACTAGCTGTGTTCACCCTGGGCAAGTCACTTCACCCTGTTTGCCTCAGTCTCCTCATCTGTCAAATGAGCTGGAGAAGGAAATGGCAAAGCGCTCCAGTATCCTGTGGCAAGGAAAACCCCAAATAGGGTCAGGAAGAGTCAGACACAGCTGAAAACAACTCAACAACATGGTAGGGGGAAGGAACATTTTGCCTCAAGGGCGATAGGGTGAGGGGGTGGTCATCTTCACACAGGCACTGATTAGCTGGCATTGTGGAGTACGGGGAGAGCCCTGGCTCCGCCTTTCATTAGTGTGTAGCCCTGCAGCTAAGTTTCCTCTTCTGTATAGAGAAAGGTTCAAACAGCTCTGAAATTCTGCCCGTGCTCCCCACGGAGGCTGGGGGGCCTCTGAAGGCAGGCTCCAGCACCCCAACCTCCTCTCTGCCCCCGAGTGCTGCCTTCTGGAGCCAAACAGAGTGTCTTCTCAGCCCCTCCAGAAGCAACCAGGGACCTTCACCCGAGGGTTCTGCCTCAGACTTTTCCCCCTGCTCGTTCTGGATTCCCTCAGATGAACACACAATCTTCCAGGCCGCCCTCCACCCAGCCGCCAAGGTGACTTTTCTAAATTGTAACTCCAGTCACGTCACCCCCTCCTCCTGTGAAACTCTTGTGGCTCAAAAGAGCCCTTCCTTGTCATCAGCCCTCCGGGCGCGCTTCCTCCCAGTGATGCCTCCGCACTCTTGTTAAACGACAGTCCATCCCTGGCGGGGCATTTTCACTGGCGGTTTGTGCGCCAGGCCTGGCACGCTCTCACTCCTCATTTCCTCCTGCCTTCTGCAGGCAGCCTTTCACAATCCCCCTTAATTTTCTGCTGTCTTTCCTCTGTTGATTATTTCCTGTTCATCCTGTCTGCTGCTTGTTTGTACGTAGTGGCTTGCGTGTTGGCTCCCTTGTTAGACTGGGAGCTCCATGAGGGCAAGGACTACTTCCACCTTTCTCTGTATCCTCAGTGCTTAGCGCAATGCTTGGCACACAGTAAATGTTTTCGTGACTGACTGAATATACAGTGCCACCCCACATGTGGTTTCTTTGGAATAAGTCATCCAATTCAGGGCCATTTTTCAAATTATCTTCCTCAAATTCTCCTTGAGTTAGGACTCTTCTTCATTTCAGTTCCCTCCCTATGATATCTAGTCTGGGAGTTAAAACCTAGGCATTCTCCCCACCACCTCCTTTGTAGTTCAAATCCCTTTTTATTAGGTTTGCAAGACGTCAGGAAAATCTTTTTTTTTCTGGTGATGGTCTGTGGATTCTTTCAACTGGCACTGTGTTTTCCTGTGTTCAGAAGTTCTGGGCACTTATATTATTTCTTGAGTTGCAGGGTTTAGGTTTTTTGATCTGTCATGTTCTTCTGGGGGCTCTACAATCATTAAGTTGGCTCTATGCATCCTGTCTTCCAGATCAATGTTTTACTTATTATAAAGATCAGATCTTGTTTAATGTCATTGCTTTTTGCTTGTCTTCTTTCAGACTGTCCTTTACTTCCATCGATTTGCATCCCCAAACAGTCTCTCTTTGGTTTTTGTTTTTTTTGGTGAGACTTACCACCATAGATTCAAGTTTTTCTATTCTGCCGATTATTTCTGCCACACTGACCATAAATTCTGATCTCACAATTCTTATTTCTCTTTTAAGCCATTCAGGAACCTTCTGCATATGGTTCCATGCTCTCTTGGGAATCTGTCGGTTTCTCTGCCTCTTCCCTGTCTCTTCTCTCTCTATAGATTCATATTCCTTTGTCTTGTGGTATTTATTCACAGATGCCCGAACTCTTTTACCTGATCTAGAGACCGAATCTCCTTCTGCTATTAACTGCCTTCCCCGTTGGTTTATCTCCTCATGCTCAAGGTCTTTGAGTGTTCTTCCTCCTAAGATCTTGGGTAATTTTGATCTCTTTCCTTATTTTACCCTATTTCTTGTTCACTGCCTCCTACCATGGTAGGCAGTTAACAGTTCACCAGCCTCAGTCTCTGCCCCATCCTATCTGGATGCTGAATTCTTTTCCTCAAGACTCAGTGGGGCACTCCACAGCCCCCCATTCCATCAGTTCCTTCATTCTCTAGCCAAGCTTTCTAGCAGCAAAGAACACTGCTATGGAATCCAGATTAGGGGCAGAGTTGAGTTCTGTCACAAGTTCAGGGGAGGTGCTGATGAAGGGAGTTGAGGTAGGAATTATCCTTCCTCTGCTTTGACATCAGGTTGGGTTCTTGATGTCCCAGAACAGTGGTGTCAGACTATAATAGAAACGGGGCCACTCAACCATAAAGGCTGCCTGTTGACTTAGAAAATCCCATATTAACATTATCTGTGTTCTACTATATTTTTATTTTGTTAAAGATTTCCCAATTACATTTAATCTGGCTCAGGCAGCCTGCAGGCAGTGTGATGGCCACCTCTGCCCTAGACCGTGGAGACAACTGAAATTGCTTTGTTTCTTGTGCATGATTTCCTATTTTGGATTTTCCTATTTTGAAAAGTCGTAGGTCTTAAAGAAAATGTCTGGGCCACCATTTTGCTGGTCACATGACCAGAGGAAATACATTCTTAAAGACTTTGTTAGCGACACGTCATCTCTGGCCAGAAATCTGTCATCTATTTTATGCCATGGTCCAAAAGTCCAAAGTACATTCTCAAGACATCATCACCTTAGCCATCTATTCATTTCCCAAATTAATTTTTCTCTTCTGTACCCTTTGCCTTTTATTGGCCACAGTGAGGAAATGCCACCTGTGACCCTGTGGTCTGCAGTGTCCTGCCTGAGACCTCATCAGCTTTTGCAGGACTTTTTTAGGTCCTCTCCAGCAGCAGCAGCTTCTGTGCCCTGGGGAAACACCAGAAACGGAGGGTTGTCCCCGGCCTTGATGAGTCTCGGCATCTGTGTTGTATCTCTGTTGTGCCTCTATCATGACCAAGTTGACATACTGCTGACCCAGAAATGGGCAGCCCTGGCCACCTCCCTGCTATTGTTCAATAGGCTGTAATCATTCTGCAACTGCAGCTCCTAACTGCCAAAGCCATGGCCTTTCTGCAGTTCATTCCCTGTTCTCTCTCCAGTGCTCTCAGCTGAACATTTCCTTTGAGCCACTCCTTTCTTGGCTTCTGTGAAACTGCTCTGTCTAGGTTCTGCTTGTATGACCATTTCTCTCTCCCTGCCTCTCCCTCTCTCTCCCCCCTCTCTCCCCTTCCTCTGTCTCCTCCTCCCTGAGTCTCTGTCCCTCTGTTTGTCTGTCTCACCCCACCCTCTCCTCCTCTCCTCTCTCTCCACCCCACTCTATTCCTTCCTCTGTGTCTCTCTGTCTCGCTGCACCCCACCCCCCTCTTTCCAGCAGCTCCCACAGGTGTGGTTGTCATCTCTGCAGTTTGACTAGCAAATCTGTATATATGGGCTCCTGATCAGTATTTTCACCCCAGTCCAGCCTTACTCCCTGATGGACGTCCCCATCCAGATGCCCCATTAGTTTCTCAACATCAAGTCTTCCTCACCCTTCCTGCTCAGCTCCCCTCTTTCTCCTCCAGGCATCCAGGTTTGTAACCTCACTCATCTTTGGCTCTTCCCTCTCTGGCACCACCGACCCCCATACCCACTCTACTGCTGTGTCAGCCCCAGAACTGCACTATATCCCCATTACACCCTCTCCACTCCCCTAGGCAGCACCTTAGGGCTTATGTGAAGTGACTGAGGCAGCCTCCTCACCCATCTCCCTGGGTCCAACCCTCCTCTGCTCCTTTCTCCACAAAGCTGCCAGAATCATCTTCCACATGTCGTCTGCACTGTCAGACGACATCAGTGTGTCAGCTGTTGTTTTTCTGATCTTATTTTTCTTCTTTCTTATTACATGGGACGGCTTAGTGGGTGGGGGTAGAAAAGAGAGACATCAGAAATGAAGGAGATGTGAAAAGCAAAGAGAGGAAAAATTAGTAGAAAACCAACAATCTGCCCATGGCACTGCCCTGCTCAGAAATGAATGGCCCCTCATTTCCTTCATGATAAAATACAAACTGCACAGGGTAACATCAACCCCTTTTCTAGTCTCCTCTTCATTCCAGCCAAGGTGGACTACCAGCTGTTCCCCAAACTCCACCGACCATAGCCTGTCCCTGTGTCAGCCTGAAGAATAAGAATAGTCACATTTCTATAGTGCTTTACAGGGATCTCATTTGAGCCTCACAATTACCCTGGGAGGTAGGTGCTACTACCCCCATTTTGCAGATGAAAAAACCGAGGTCAAAAGAGATTAACTGACTTGCCCAGGGACACACTGTCTGAGAACTGGATTTGACTCAGGCCTTTCTGATTCCAGGTATTACGTTCTCTCCACTGCACCACTTAGCTGCTTTCACACAGGCTGCCTAATGTGCCTGGAGTTTCCTCGGTCAATAATGATTAAATATCTACCATGTGCCTGGCGCTCTCCTAGGCACAGGAGATACAAGTACAGAGAATGAATGAATCACTACTCATCATGAATTTATATTCCAAAAGAAAAGGCAACAAGAACATCTAGAATACAGGATAAATATGGGCTGAGTGTGTGTGTGTGTATACGTGTACGTACACGTATGTAACATGCACACAATTAAATACAAGGTAGCTTGGTTGGGAGAGCACTAGCTCAGGGCAGGAGAGGGAAGGGGATCAGGAAAAGCTTCCCGCAGAAGGTGGTACCTGGGCCAGCATCTTGGAGGAGTTGAGGGGTGGACTTCTTTCAAGTTATAGATGAGGAGACTGAGGTCTAGAGAGAAGTTAGGTGATTTCCCCAGGGTCACAGAGTGTATACAGCCAGGGTCCAAACCTTACTTCCCTGCTGTCCCCTTCCCCATCTAGATGTCCATTTCATCCCCCCAGTAGAGGGGACCTTCTGGAGAGCAGGACCCTTCATCCTGGACCCCTAGTGCCTGGAACAAGACAATGTTTGAATCAGGGGGTTGTCTGGTGCTTTCCCAGGGATGCTTCCCCAAGAAAGATGAGAGTGAATGCCAGGAGAATGATAGATTCCATTCACCTAGCATTTCCCAGGTATTATTATCTCGAGACAAGAGCACAGAAGAGTTGGGATGGCCTTCCTGTAACAGACTGTCCGAGTGATCCTGGATAACCTCCTGTGCTCGAGGTGACTCTCCAAGGAGGGAGGGCTCCCCAACTTTTCTGGGGTCACAGACCCCTTTGGTAGCCTGGTGACGCCTACGGACCCCTTCTCAGCAGCATGTCTAAGTAATTGAAGGATTTCAGAGGTTAATGAAAATAAAAGTGTCACTTTTTAACTGTTCTAGTTCATGGGTCCCAGCTTAAGAACCCCTCCTCTGAAATAATACTGGCAGAAAAGGCACCTACTTACCTCTGGTGAGGTATTCTCCCCCCTCCCATGTTCCCTGTCCCCTGGAAATCCCAGGTCCCCCCTCTCAGCATAGGTCCCCGAAACAAGCCTTGGGGTGGGGGAGGAAGCAGACGTAGGCCGCCAGATGACGTACCTCCAAGCCGCTCCAGAGACAGTGGAAAGACTGGGTAGGGCTAATTAAGGGTAATTAGACTCATGACTAAGGATGGCCTTTGGGTGGGGAATGGCAGAAAATGTTTTGTTAAGGGCGAACCTAACAGGAAAAAGGAGTGGGCTAGTCCCGGAGTCCAAGCCTGGGAAAGCTCAGAGCTACCCTTGAAGCCCCTGCCAGGACTTACAGAGAAATGCAGATGTGATTCTGGGCCAGCCCAGAGAGGACCGGGGTGGGGGGGGGGGTAGAAGCTCCGAACCTTTTGAAGACAAATTCAGATTGTGAATAATTCTCACAATGAAAATTGAAAGTTTGTCGGCAAAAACTGAGGGTGTCACTGACAAGATTTGAGGAATGGACTTTGGGGCAGGGTGGGGAGGAGGCACTGGGCTTTTTCAGCTCCCCCTTTGGAGGGGCAGACTGCAGAAAAGGGTGAACAGACAAATACTCGTCATGTCGGGCTATCAGCAAAATAGGAGGAAAGAAGCCTTGATAGACTGAACAGTCATCTGAGAGCCTGAGAATATCCAGGCTGGGAAGGAACTTAGAACAGGGGATGTCAGAGCTGAGCTAGAGCATAAAATGACAGAATTCACAGAACATTTATTAGGATTATGTACTTGGCACAGGGACTACCGAGATTTAAGCAGTCCCTTCCCTCAAGAAGCTTGACCTCTAACTAGGAAAGACTGGAAGACATAGAATGTTGGAGCCCAGGGGACACAGAGGTGCACTTCTTTCTTTTCTGCCTGCTACGCCAGTCCAGCACGCCGGGTATCCCTCTCTTCGCCCTAGTCTCCCTCCCCCTGCTCCCATGAGGTAGCTAAAAAGCCTGTTGAGTTCAATTCAATAAACATTCCTGAAGTGCCCACTAATTGCCAGGCAGTGTTCAGCTCTAGGGATACAAAAAGAGGCAAAAAGGACAGTGCCTGCCCTCAAGGAGCCCACAATCTAATGGGGGAAGGCAACGTAGAACACGGAACAGGAGACTGGCAAGAGCGGGGAAGGGGGCGGGGCGTGTGACATCATCTGGGGTTCCCAGGGGGGGCATCCTGTTCCGTGGAGATGAAAGCCAGGGAGGCCGCGGAGGCAGAGTGGAGAGTGTTGGAAATGCCGATTCTGCCCTCGATAAAGGAAGGCTTTTCGAGGAGTTTGGGGTTCTGCCCCCCGGCCCTCCAGTCACGGGGAGAGGGGGCTGAGGAAGACGAAGTCGAGACTGAGTTAGTAACCCCATGATGAGATTACGCGGGAGGAGTTTGTCCTGGGAGGGGCAGGGGTTCGGAGGAGTTGAAATCTGGCCAAGCTGCGGATACCCTAAAGTCGCTTTTCCAAATCTCAGGTCAGTGGCAGGCGAAATTAAAGCCCCGCCTTTCCCCAGAGGAGGTAACCCTCCTCCAGGAGGAGCAGAAGCCTCCCCGAGATAAGGGTGGGGTGTTGATTGAGTTGAATTGTCACCCCATCCCACTTAAAAGTAAGGGATAAGATGTAAGTCCCGATCAGTCAATCAATCATAGGCTTTAGACTAAGCGCAAAAAAATCCCTAGAACCTGAATCCTCCGGGATTATCTGTACAATTTCGAACTAGTTTAGCATGGATTATTGCAGAGATTGGAGCCAGCAAGCCTTCCCGTGAAACCCCAGAGGGAAAGGGGGAGGGGCGTGGGGAGGGAGGGAGGGAGGGAGGGAAGGAGGACACTCCTCCCTGCAGGGCCCTCCCCAGCCTACCCGTCAGCGACCTAGCACTGCCCAGCCCTCCCGGAGCTTGGGTCCGTGGTTGCCGGGAAACCTTCGGTGAGCTTCCTCAGCGTTCTGAGGTTGCTAGGAGACGAGACGACGCGGGCCCAAGGGAGAGAGCATGTGCAGCCCGGGCTCCGGGGGGCAGACAACGTTCGGGAGGGGTGCCGGTAAGCTCACACTGCAGGGTCAGGGTGGGGCCTGGGCGTGAGCCCCAAAAGTCTGAGGGTCCAGGCCCTCCTTTGGGCTGGCAGATGCAAGGAGGGATGGCCCAGAGCCTTGGCTGTATGGACCCTAAGGCCCTCCCGGCTCTGACCTTCTGTGTGTGAAGATCTTTGACCGGCAATGTGGCCTTGTGACCTACTTTTGACCAGGGTCTGTGGGGCTGGTCATGGTCCTGGCTATGTCCTGGGGCCCGAGCTGAGCCTCATCCACACAGAAAGGGAATCCAAGGATACATCCCATATCGGCCATGGAGTTCCCTGACCCTGGCCACTGGCCAGAAGAGCACTGAGGCAGGTCAAGCCCGCTGGCTGCTATCAGACTGTGCCTACACCCACCCTGAGGACCCACTGTGTGCTTCCCGAGGCAGCCCCTCCTTTTTACCACAGGGCCCATCTACTGGCTGGGAAAGGGCTTGAGGGCAGTAGTACAGAAGAAACCCTGAGATCTTAACCCCTCTGGTTAAGGCTGGTGAAGCCAATGGGCACTTCTCAGAGTAATGCTTTCAAATGCATAAAACAAAATACAGCCAGCCAAAGATTAGTGAAAATAAAGGTGTCCTTCTTTTCAGATCCCCCCCCCAATCTATCCACGGGGTAAGATCTCCCTGCCATAGGGGATCCCACCTCAGAGGGGAAGGTTGAGCTTGACACTAGGAGGTCCCAGGGACAAGCCCCTGATACTGGGGCACACAACACCCCAGACTCTTAGTGCCAAATGCAGTCATTCATACACACGGCCACAGCTGCTATCTGTCCTTCGTTCTGGAAGAGGACCATGACGTCAGGGAGGTGATGCCATGACATGCAAGTGAACTGGATTTCAGTGAGGCAGGGCTGTGCAAAGTCACCAGCCTCACTTTCTCCTCCGGAGCCATCTGGGTGCAGTGGCCAAATATAGGTCAGGACAACTGGAGTTGACCCAGGATGCAGTGCGGACCTTGGCCTTTTCAAGCTAAGGTCTTTAACAAGTCTCACTTAGACTGAGACAGCGCCCATTCGGTGATTAAGACTTAAAAAATAAGGCAAAGAATGGCCTCTTTAAAAAAAAAACAGATCTGGGACCGGCAAAACCAGAAACAATTGTTATTTACATTTATTTTGAGCCAATCAGGGCCCCAAGTAGGGCTTGGTCTGGGACCAGAGTGATTTGGAGTTAAGGCTGGCGGTCTTTAACAGAAAAAAACAAAAGAAGAAAAAAGGAAAATTTTCAGAAATTAAAATTTACATTCCCTTTGGGCAGACCACCCGCTGGTGAGGGGATACCCTATGTGAAGTGAGAACAAAGAAAGTGGGGCAACTAGGTGGCACAGTGGATAGAGCACTGGCCCTAGAGTCAGGAGGACCTGAGTTCAAATCCGGCCTCAGACACACGATCCTCCCTAGCTGTGTGACCCTGGGCAAGTCACTTAACCCTGATGAAGGAGAAGGGGAAAGAAGAAGGAAAGAAAGAAAGACACATTGCCAAACTTGGTCCCCCATGGGCAGCTCCTTCACTGCTCACAGAGGTTGCTGTTCATCCTTTGTTCTCAAAGAGAAGCAGGAAGGTGATGCCATGCCATTAGTCAAACCTGTTGATGGTGGAGACCTGTTAAGGACCTTAGCTTGAAAAGGCCAAGGTCCCCCAGTGCATCCTGGGCCATCTCCAGTCATCCTGATCCATATCTGGCCACTGCACCCAGATGGCTCCAGAAGAGAAAGTGAGGCTGGTGACTTTGCACAGCCCTGCCTCACTTAAATCCAATTCACATGGCCATAGAACCATAGGGAAGCTGAGTTGGGAAGGGCCTTAGAACAGTGGATGTCAGAGCTGGGAGGGGTCTTAGAACAGGGGATGTCAGGGCTGGGAGGAGTCTTAGAACAGTGGATGTCAGAGCTGGGAGGAGTCCTAGAACAGTGGATGTCAGAGCTGGGAGGGGTCTTAGAACAGGGGATGTCAGGGCTGGGAGGAGCCTGAGAAAGGCCTCATCTATGAAACGGGGATAATAATAGCACCTGTCTCCCAGGATTGTTGTGAGGATCAAATGAATGATATTTGTAAAGTACACATAGTAGGAGCTTAATAAATCCTTGATCCCTTCTCTTCCTCCTTTACACTTAGGTCTCTTCCCTCAAGAGACCACTTGATCCCCACATGGGGGTCCCCGGGGAATTGGGGTCCCTGCCTGGGTCCCAGCCTCCACCCTCTGCCTGGGTCCTCTTTCCACAGATTTCCAAGCTGAGGGTTCGAGGGAGCTGGGAGACTGGAGTGAGTTCTCTCCTGGTCCCTCCTGACCCCCCCCGCCAGACAGAAGCCAGGTAAGAGGCTCTGTGTCCCACATTCCAGCAGGCCATCTGTGTCCCCCTGGGCTCTACCCCCACATTCCAGGCAGCATCCCAGTGTCCAAGCACCATCCAGAGGCGGGGTGATCGCTGGCTGGGAAGGCTGGGGAAGGCTCCTCCAGGGGAGGGGGAGGGGGACTCAGTGGTCTCTGAAATCCCTTCTCACCTCAAAGACCAGAATTCAGAGAGTCTCTAGTCTGTGAGGCTGAGATGCCATACTTGGACTCCAAGAGTCTGTGGCCTTATCACCTTCTAGACTTCTTGAGGTGCAGAAACCACATCCCATTGGAACAGAGCCTAGCACAATGCCCACAACAGGTGCTTCATAAATGTTTGTGGTTTTTGCTGTCTTATGACTCTGACATTCTGTGATCTAAGATCCTGTGGCTCTAAGGTTCTAGTATGTGGTACTGACCATAAGGGTTAGAACACCTGTGGGGATCCTATGGACTTTGGGACCTCAGAACACTGGATATCTGAGCTGGGAAGGGAGGGCCTTAGAACAGGAAATGTCAGAGCTGGGAGGGGCCTTAGAACAGGGGATGTCAGAGCTGGGAGGGGCCTTAGAAGATAGGCACTTTGAGGGCTGGACCTGGCCCACAGGAATGTGAACCCAGGAATCCTGGTGCCTTGTGGTCTGTGAGGCTGCCAGTAACAGCCAAGAACAGGCATTCCAGCACAGTCATTTAACATTCACTAAGCCTCTGCTAAGTTCTAGGCACTGTGCTAAGCACACAGAAAAACAAAGCCAATCCCTGCCCTCATGAAGCTTACAATGTAATGGGAGAAGACAGTAAGTTGGGGGTGATGGAGAGTTCTACAGTGTAGCTGGTGGAGACAGGAGAAAGACGCTGAGCTGCTTTTTAGACACAGGCCCCGTTCTCCTGCCATGGGGTCTTCCCAAAGCTGAGAAGTTGCTTCCCAGGGAGCTGGGTCAAACTGACAGGGGAAAGAGTCCCCCACCCACTGCACACACGTCCCCTGTGCCCCCAACACCATAGGGTGACACCCCCCCACTGCCCTCCCCCAGCCCAGCCGCCCTGCCTGGCAGTGCCAAGGATGCCCCACCCAGGGGGTCCCGGGCCGTCCTGCCGCCAAGAAGAATATGTCTGGAGGCTAACCCAGCTCCTGGGCTCAGTGTCCCCTGGGCGAGGAGAGCTCAGCCCCTGCAGCTCGGACTCCATCTGTACGGAGGACTTTGCCGCTTGCTTCCAAGAGGCCATGGTGGAGGCTGTGCTGCCTAAGGAGCAGGAGGAGGGGGCCCGTGCCAGAAGCCCTGAGTCCCTGGGGGGGGCCACATCTCCCGGCTGAGCCAGGGCTCCACTCCCCAGCCGCTCAGCTCCTGGGGCTGCCAGCAGCCCCCCAAGGAGGAGTGTTCCTCACTCCCGGAGGACCCCAGCCCCAGGTCGGGCCCACCTGCACCAGGCGCTGCAGGGCCTAGATCTCTGCCCCACTTGGGGGGCCCCTTCCCTGAGAAGCGGAGACACAAAAGAGATTCTGGAGTTGGGCAGGCGAGAAGCCAGAGTGGGGGCCTTGAGGCAGCCGGCCTCCACACTGGGAGCAGGAATCCTCGGCCCTGTCTTCGCGCTTCTCCCCACAACAGAAGGGTCCACTGGGCCCCAGAGCCATCCCTGAACGTCCGGCCTGATGGTCCAGCCTGGGAGGCCCCAGCCCTGAGGCAGCTGTCCAGGCCTTTGGCAGGTAAGGTGGGTGCTCCTGCCCCAGGCCTGGGAGGGAACGGGGTGCCTGATCCAATTCTCTCTACCCTGTTCCTTTCTCTTCAGGACCCCAGGACCCCAAGCTGTTTCTGGGTAGGCTCCCAGCATCTCCCTGCAACCCTGGATCTCTCCTCCCATCCTGCCCACTGGAATACCCATCTCCTGGCTCCCAGAAACAACAGCCCAGGTGAGACAGGAGAAGGGTGGGGAAGGGGCTGGGACTGCCCTGGGAAGGGAATGGAGACTTCTGAGCAGCTTTCTAGTGTCCTGTGCTTTTCTAGCCTTAGCCACAGACAGGGGCTTAAAAAAGAGCAGGAGACCCCAGGGGACCCCAAGCCCTGGAAATGGAGCAAGAAACCAGAAAGGATGAAGGTAAGACCCTCCCTCCTATCCCTAGGGCCCTAAGCAGGGAAGCTCACTCTGAGATACTTTTAGGCCTTGACCCCCAAGGCAGAGCTGGGGCTCCCAGCTCCTGAGGGGCCTCCTCCCCACTCTCCCGTCCCTCCCAAACCCCTCATATCTCCCCGGGGAAGAGGGATCTTCCAGGATGAGCCACATTTAAACCCCCAACCCCAGGACTCCATATAGGGGATGAGAAGGAAGAATCCCACAGACTCAGGAGTGGAGTGGGCAGTGAAGACAGAGGAGAAACCCAGGGGTGGGCCTTCCAATCATGAGACCAATGAGTGATACGGTGGAGAGAGCTTTGGACCTGGAGTCCGAAAGACCTCAGTTCGAATCTGGCCTCAGACACTTTCTGGCTACATGTCACTTGACCTTGGTCTGCCTCAGTTTCCCCATCTGTAAAATGGAGAGAATAGTAGTAGGTGCCTCACTGTTGTGAGGATTGCATGGATGACTTCAGCTCCTATCACTATTATCCCCTTCCCACTGGGAAGCCAGGATGGCAAGATTTTGAAGAACAGGGAGGAGTGGGTAGCTGGGGGCACACACAGAGCAGGAAAGGAGAAGCCAGACGTCTCTGTTCAGGATGGAGGCCCTGGGCAGTTCAGAGTTATGGGAGCTACGAACACCAAGCACGGAGTAGCCCAGGCAGATTCTGGCACAAGTGGGAGATAGCAGCAGCTGATGCCTGAGACTCCAGCCGGTGTGGAAGCCCCCAGGCCCGGGTAAGCCCCAGGACCCAGGCCCCCATGGACATGAGCCCCCCACACACTGCTCTGTGGGGCTTAAGCTTCCCTGAGCATTCCACTGGGGCAGAACACTAGTGCAGGCGGGAGAGGGGTAGCCAAGGAAAGGTCAGCCCTGACTCGCTCTGATCCGAGGGGCAGTGGAAGAAACCCACCCAGAGACAGGGAAGGACCTGTCCAAGGCCACACAAGAAGCTCAAGCCTGTGTCCCCCACCCCCCACTCCCAGCTCTGTCATCCAGGAGGTGCGAAAGTGACCATCTCCTCTCTCCCAGGAGTCCTGGACTTGGGCTGAAGTTCGTCGGGGCCCTGCTTGAGGCTGCCCGCTGCCGCCTCGGGGATGTGATTCAGCAAGCTGAAATCCTGCAAGAGGCCCTGCAGGAGCTGCAGAGGAACAGGGTAGGCCTCGGGGGGGAAAGAAAGAAGGCCAAGCTCACTAGGGGCCACAGCCATAGTGAGGCAGTGCTGCAGAGGGACAAAGCCTTTCCCTTCTAGACTCTGTTTCCCTATCTGTAAGATGGGTGGGTTGGACCCGGTGGTTCTAAAATGCCCTTCCTGGGCTTCCATCCTATGACAGGATTCCCACAAAACCAGACCTGGGTGGTCCCATTTCACAAGTGGAAATGCTGAGATTCAGGGAGGTCTGGAAGGTTTCCCCACAGTCACACAGTTTAATCTATCTGAAAGCCAGCACTAGAATCCAGGGCACACTCTGCTCACTGCTTGGCTAAGTGCAAGGGGGTCCTAAAGCTCCCACTGCTTTCTCCCCACCCCCAACACAGCTGGCATCCATGCCCGGTGGCTGCAAGGGCCCAGAGTCTTCTGCTGTGGGCCAGGAATACAATGTGGATGGAAGCGCAGGTAAGATAGTACAAGGGTGGGGGCTCCCCTACTGAGAGAGAGAGAGAGAGAGAGAGAGAGAGAGAGACAGAGAGAGAGACAGAGACAGAGACAGAGAGAGAGAAAGAGAGGAGAGGAGAGGAGAGAAGAGAGGAGACAGAGAGAGAGGACAGAGGGAAAGGGAAGAGGGAGGAGAGAGGAGAGAGAGAGAGAGACAGAGAGAGAGACAGAGACAGAGAGAGAGAAAGAGAGGAGAGGAGAGGAGAGGAGAGAAGAGAGGAGACAGAGAGAGAGGACAGAGGGAGGGAAAGGAAAGAGGGAGGAGAGAGGAGAGAGAGAGAGAGAGAGAGAGAGAGAGAGAGAGAGAGAGAGAGAGAGAGAGAGGAGGAGAGGAGAGGAGAGAAGAGAGGAGACAGAGAGAGAGGACAGAGGGAAAGGGAAGAGGGAGGAGAGAGAGAGAGAGAGAGGGAGAGAGAGAGAGAGAAAGAGGAATTGTCAGGTCAGAAAGAAAGGTCAGGTCACCAGCACCCTGGTTTGGGTCCCAAACCACTTCACCTCTGGGACCCTCAGTTTGCTGCTTTATAAAATGGGGGTGAGGCTTCCTCAGGACGGCTTGGAAAGAAAACATACATTGGTAGTAAGCTCTAAACGCATCCGGAATGGAAAGGGACTGACACAGTGTCATTTTCAGATGAGGGGACTGAGGCCCAGAGAAGGGGAGTTACTGGACGGAGGCCAGGGTCACTTCCAGAGCGGCTCCTGGGTCCCCGAGCTTTGGGAAGTAGGAGTGAGAATCCACAACCCTGTGTCTTCCCCCAGCATCCCCCAGCCTGGCCTGGTCAGGCCCACTCTCAGAGGGACCACTGGGGCGGGGCCGAGGAAGGGCCCACCTGCCCATCAAAGCAGGCTTCCGGAGGGCCTAGGCTTCAGCCTGGGGAGATTCATGGGAGGGCAGGCCCCAGTCCTGTCCTTAGCCTGAGCAGCCCAGAAACACCAGGTAGAGAACCCTCTGACAGAGACTGTGACGACCAGAAGGTCGGGCCTTCAGAACATCAAGGCGGGAAAAGACCTCAGCGTCCCCCGAGTCCAGTCCACACCTAACTACGCGTCGTGTCAACAAGTGGACATCCCTCATCTGTTTGAAGACCCCCAGTGACGGGGAGCTCACCACCTTCTCAGGCAGCTCTTTCTGTTTGGGGATGGTTCTCATACTTAGGAAATTTTTCCAGGCCTCAGGTCAAAATCTGTATCTTTGCAACTCCCCCTCCCCCGACCCTCCCACCCACCCAGGGGTCCTGGTTCTGCCTTCGGGGACAAAGCTAATCCCTCTTTCCCACGGTTAGCCCTTTCAAATACCTGAAGATGGCTCTCCTGGCTCCCTGAGGTTTCTCCAGATTCCACGGCCTTGGCTCCTTCGACCCTCCCTTTTCAGGCCCTTCCCTGTCCTGGTCACCCTCCTTTAGAGGCCCTCCAGCTGACTGATGTCCTTCTTAAACCGTGCTGTCCAGCTCTGAGCGCAGCCTTCTGCTGTGGTCTGACCAGGAGAGAGGCCCCTGGGATCCCCATACCCCTCCGGTGGAGCCTGAGTCCTCTGCTAATTCAGCCAAAGGCCCCATTGCCTTCTGTGGCTGCCACATCACACCGGGAAGGCAGTCCACCGAGACCCCCAGATCTTCCTCTAGCCATGCGTCCTACATCTTGTGACCTTGTCCTAAGAGGAGAGATGGAACCAAAGGACCTCGATTCACCTTCTGGCCCCGCTCTGACACCTTGGACGAGTCATTTCTCTCGGCCTTAATTTTCTCATCTATAAAACGAAGGGCTTGGGCTCTCATGGCCCTTCCGGCACTAAATCTACGGTCCTATAAACGTTTATCTCTATTAAACTTCTCCAGTAACAAGCATTTGTTTTTTCTCATTCCCACCCCTGTCTCCCCTCTCCCATTGAGAAAGAAAGACAAACAAGACCCTCGGGTCGGCGTCCACAGCCAGACATCCCCGCGGGGGCCGCGGCCCACACGCTGAGCCCGCAGCCTCACTCGGGAGGCGGGGAGCAGGCCCGAGAGGTCCGGCCCCGGAGTCACAGTCCTCAGCCTTTCAAAGGCGTTTGTCCTAATCCGCCGCTGCTTTGGTGAACCGGCGCTCCTCCGCGCTGGGGCCCGGCCTCCTCCGTAAGTCTGACCTCGCGGCATGCACTTTTTCTACCTCCTTTTCTTCTGAACTTTGTGCTGTCCGGGAATGTGATGAGGAGGAGAGTGCATCGCCGAGAAAGGGCCGATCCCTGGGGCGCCCCGCTAGACGCCTCCGTGTTGCCATTAAAGACGGCTTTTCCAGTCTGAGGATCCAAGTACTGTATAGTCTGGCCCATGGTTCTCCCTTTGCCACGAGGAAGCACAAGAGGCCAAAAGGGGTTAGATCATCAGGAGGCCTCAGAGGACCTGGGATCCCCAGCGTCTGCGGAAATCTGTGAACGTCTCCCTGGGGAAGTGGGCCAGAAGCTGAGACCTAGCGACGTGAAGAGCTGAGGGGGGACTAGGGGTGCTGGGGAAGTAGGGAGCCACCACTAGCACCCTGAAACAGGACAGGGACCTCTGGTGAGTACCCATGCCCACACAGACATCCCCTGTTCTGAGGCCCCTCCCAGCCCTGACATCCTCTGTTCTAAGGCCCCTCCCAGCTGTGACATCCCCTGTTCTCAGGCCCCTCCCAGCCCTGACATCCTCTGTTCTCAGGCCCCTCCCAGCCCTGACATCCCCTGTTCTAAGGCCCCTCCCAGCCCTGACATCCCCTGTTCTAAGTCTCCTCTACTCTCTGACATCCCCTGTTCTAAGGCCCCTCCCAGCCCTGACATCCCCTGTTCTGAGGCCCCTCCCAGCCCTGACATCCCCTGTTCTAAGGCCCCTCCCAGCCCTGACATCCCCTGTTCCAAGGTCCCTCCCACCTCTGAAATTCATTCTATATTCTATCACGATCCCGCTGGTAATTCTTGCCTCCCCATCGCTTCTCCAAATCTCACTCCAAAAACTGGTGCAGAAAAATTAAGCCACTGAGCCCCCAGACTTCCTGACTCATAATTCCATAGTCTCCAGTGTGGGCAGGAATTCCATGGCTGAGGAGAAAGAGGATGGACAATGAGGTTGCAGTATTCAGAGTGACCACAAGAGGGCGACAGAGGAGGCTCCAGACTGCCGGGGCCAGGAGATGGAGAGAGAACGACATGATTCTCTGCCTCCTCCCCATCCCCCAAACAAGGCAGTGGCCTGGGTTACTCCTGTCCAAAGGGCTTCTTAGCCATGAAGGCCCCATTATAATCAGTCTGGGCCATAGAACGTCAGAACTGGAAGGAGGCCTACTTCCAGAACCCCTCTGTAGGCCACCAATGTGGCTGTTAAAGGGGTGGGGAGTGGGGGCTTGTCTTTGGAAAGACCTCTGGTTGGGGGGTAAGAAAGGCAGCCTGGAGGGGTTCTCTGTTCCCTCAAAACTCTGACATTCCCTGTTCCAAGGGCCCTCCCGGCTCTGACATTCCACATTCCATCTCTGATGTGTTTTCAGCGTCCTCCAGTGGGAATGGGGCCACAGAACGCCAAAATTGACTCAGGGCTGGAAGCCAAGTCTGAGCGGAGCCACGTGGCCCAGACTGGGCCTTGACCAAACACTCCCGAGTGTTCCTCCAGCCTTTCCTTGAAGAGGGAAGCCCCGCTGCCTCCTGCAGCAGCCCGTGCTGCTTTGGGACCCCCTCCTGGTGAGGACAGCTCCCCGGGATCACGACCCCCCTGAGGCTTCGCTTCTCATCCTGAGGCTGTCTGAGGCCCCTCCTTCCGAGGCTCCTGCTGTCCTAAGTTCCAGCCTCTTCTGGTCCTTCCTCAGTTGTAATGCCACACCTGGGGCTGCTGTGGCCTCCCCCCACGGCCCTTCTCCTGGCTCTCCCTGCCTGGGTTCGGCTGTGTGGACCGGCCCGGGAGAGGGACGGGGCAATGACTGCTCCATTCTTAAAGGATCCATGGCAGGGGCCGAGGAAGGGCCAGGGTTCTTCCAGATCGCTGTTCCCTCAGTCTCTGTATCTCTGCCCCTCACAGCATGTCTCCGGCCCCTCTGAGGCTCTGCTGGGGTGGGGGAAGAGGCTGTGTCCTTGGCCCCATGGAGACTTGTCAGGGCAGAGGACCCAAAGCCCTTCTTCCCCCCAACTCCTGTGAACCCCAAATTGGTCTCTGACCTGATTCTGGCTCTTTTGGGGAACCCCTAGCCTTCTTCAAGTCAATGGGATGGAGATTCCTGAACCCAGGGGAAATCTGACCTGAATTGTACCTCCCTGGGGCCTGCCTCTGTCTCCCCCAGCCCAGAGCTCCCCAAGGAGGGGGAGGGCAGGCCCGCAGGCCGGCAGGCCGTCCTAGAGGCTCAGCCCAGGTTAATGAGCGCTGACCTTTCCCATAAACAATGTGTCCCAGGCCCCTAATTAGCCCATTGTCCTCAGCCCCTGCTGGGAGGAACTGCAGAGGGCGGGGCAGGACCAGGATGGGGCCTTTTGCTGAAGAAACGCAAATTCTCTGCCCAGGCCAAGACTTCACCCCACACCCACCCACTCCCTCAGTGGAGAACTGGTCCAAGCCCCGCCCATTTCCTATGCAGCAAACAGGGACCCTGCAGGCATCCCAAGGACTACTATGCAGTGGGGGATGGGAGGAGGGAGACCTTCAGGGGCTAGAGAAGAGGCCATGGAACTGGGAATATCAGAGATGGAAGGGGGCTTAGAACAGGGGATGGCCGGGCTGGCAGGGGCCTGAGGACAGGGGATGTCAGAGCTGGGAGGGGCCTGAGAACAGGGGATGTCAGAGCTGGGAGGTCCACCATTCTGGGCCTTGGTATCTTCTTGGCAGGAAGATGAGGCCGAGGCCTGTGGGAACCTGTCTTCTTCTCCAGCTCAGCCACCTCAGGCTGGAGGAGGGGCAGGAGGCCAGCTGGACCCTGTGCCCATCACCTATCCCTCATCACTGTTGCCAGGCTCACTGAGGCACGGAATGAGGTGGTGACTGAGGCAGCCCATTCACCTCCCGTTCATTTATCTTGGGAAAATAAACATGCCCTTCCAGGAATTGTATCCTGAGAGACCCCTCCCTCCTTCTGCACTCCCTCCCTCCCTCCAGCATCTGGCCCCTGTCTCATAGGGAGACAGGCCAAAGCCTCCACGGTTGCATAGGATTGGGCCTGCCTTGAGGTAACAGCTGCCAAGGCCCAGGCTGGGGGACACTTGGCACAGAAAGGGGCATTTCCCCCATTTTGGCAGATGGGGAAACTGAGGCAGTGGGGCTTGGGGGCTAACCTGACCTGCCAGTCACATTTCCTGGAAGACACCAGCCAGGACTGACAGAGAATGCAGGTGATCAGGCTCTTCTCATTTGCCCTGTCTGCGTGACACTTCCCGGGCTACGTCAGACTCTAGGCGCCAGCATTCAGGTCCTAACGTGAGTCACTGGATTGGCAGAGGCAGAACCATCCCAGAGTTCAGGGCCCCTGAACTGGGCACCCCCGAGAAATGCTGGCCGGCGCCTGACTGCCCACTCCAGAGTGAGCACGTGGAGAGATGGTCCCAACTGTCAAGTTTTCAACTCCTGTCTAGGGCATGAAACAGTCAGGGACTGGGGCAGAGAAGCGATTCTCCCCATCCCGCCCCTCCATAGGTCCATTGAATGCCAGAGCTAGGAAGGACGTAGAACACTGAATATTAGATATGGGAAGGACCTTAGAACCTTGAATGTCAGAGTAGGAGGGCCCTTAGAACCCGAAAGTCAGAGCTGGGAATGACCTTAGAACCTTGAGTGTCAAAATAGGGGTTACCTTAGAACCTTGAATGTCAGAGCAGGAGGGTCCTTAGAATCTGAAAGTCAGAGCTGGGAACAACTTTAGAACCCAAAAGTCAGAGCTGGGAATGATCTTAGAACCTTGAATGTCAGAACAGGGGTCGCCTTAAAACTCTGAATGTCAGAGCAGGAGGGTCCTTAGAACCTGAAAGTCAGAACAAGGGTCACCTTAGAACCTTGAATGTCAGAACAGGGAGGTCCTTAGAGCCTGAAAGTCAGAGCTGGGAATGACCTTAGAACCTCAAATGTCAGAACAGGGATTGCCTCATAACCTTCAATGTCAGAACCCTGACATTTGTTAGAATCCTGAAAATTAAAACTGGAAGGGACCTTGGAACCGTGAATGTCTCAGCAGAAGGGCCCTTAGAATGTAATTTTATTTCCTCAGTTACCCCATTGGTAAAAATGAGGAAAATGCCCCTTCCTCTGTCAGGTGTCCCCCTCCCTTCATTTCTAGGGGTGATCTTTGAAGGATAATCTAAGCTAATTTATTACCAGTCTGGGCCCCTGCAACTCTTACCTCAGAGAGTCCTAAATCCTAGTTTCTCTCGTCCTTAAAAAATCACCTCAGACAAGGGGGTGGGGGCTCCCGATGCTCCCTGTGGCTCTGGACCTGGATGCTCGGAAACGTGCTGGCCTCCCTTCCCGGGCCCACCCTCCTTCAGCTCCCAGGGCCTCCTCCCCTCCCGGAGGTCCTTCTTGAGCTTCCAGAACCAGACTGATGCCTCAGCAGCAGATGGGGCGGGATACGAGGTCCATGGGATGGGAGAGTCAAGGGACTTTTTTGGTTTGGGTTGGGTTTAATTTGAATTTTAGTTTAATTTTAATTTAAGAACGAGGGTCGGTCTCCAGTCCCAAATCCAGCAGACGGATGCTTAGATGTACCCAGCCCTCCTCAGAGAGGTGGGGGACGTCGGGCACGGAGGCACACGTTCCTTTTCAGATCTGCCAGATGTATCGACAGATTTTGCTTGATTTGAAAGCAGAATCCCGGCCAGGGCAGCCAGCCCTCAGGAAACAGAGATGATATTGTTTTACAAAGCAAAGAAAACTGCAGGGCCAGAAGATGGACACAGTCCAATCCAACCCTCTTATGCTTCAGAAGAGGAAACTGAGTGACAGCCAGGACTTGCCTCCAAGTTAGAATCAGAAGCCAGGCTCTCTGTCTTTCCCATCCTTACCCATCGACAAACATACTTGAAGAATCAGGACGAATTAGGGGACCCTGGGCCTGTTTGCAGACAACAAAGGAAGAAGGCAGGGGCTGAAGGGGGCACTAAGTCTGGGGTCAAATGACTGGGCCCCCTGTGAAGGGCAGATGATTCCTGGGGTCCCCCAGGCCCTCTCCCTGCTTGCTGTTAGCCCTCAGGAGAGAGAGTCAGACACCGCTCAGGATGGCAGCCCCCACCAGGTGTGAAGAGCCTTTGAAATGAACAATTCCTGTCCCACCAACTGGTGCTCTGGGGGGCTCCAAGGGGGCTCCAGGCTGCCTGGCCTGGGGGAAGGAGTTAATTAAAGGGGATGCTGAGGCCTGAGCCCTGCCCCTTCCTCGGCGGGGCCTCCTGTGTTCCCTGAAGGCAGGGTCCAAGGCAGGCCAGATGTTATTGTGAGGGGAGCAGGGAGGGTCCCTGGAGCCCAGCGGAGGAAGGAAGCCTGGAGAAGGGGGCCCTCCCTTTGGACTGTCCCTCACCCTTTCCCCAGAATCCATCTCACTTTGCTGACACCCTCCCCCCCAGCCCAGGGGTTGTTTTTACCTTTGTAAAATTTTGTTTTGGTATTCCTATCCCTTAGCATGGGACCTTACATATAGTAGGTGCTTAATAAATGCTTGTTGACTAACTGGGCCTCAGTTTCTTCATCTGTTAAATGAGGGGATTAGAGTAGATGACTTTGGAATTCTTGATAGTATCCTAAGAAAGACACCCCTACCCCCCAAACCTGGCTAAGCTGCTGGACACAGGAGGTCTGAGCCAGGAGGAAAGAGGATACTTAGCCTAATTAACAAAGAATTGGGAGGGAGGGAGAGACTTCCCTGAATTCTCCATATAAGGTGCTCCATCTCCAGACTCCAGGCATTTTCTCCGGCTGTGCCCCCTGCCAGGAATGCCCTCCTTCCTCATCTCCACCTCCTGGCTTCCTTCACATCCAGCTAAAATCCCACCTTCTCCAGGACCCCTTCTTCACTGCCCCCCCCAAAGCTAGAGCCTTCCCTCGGACCGTGTCCAATTTATGCTGTGAACGTCTCCTTTGTACGAAGTCGTCAACCTCATTAGACAGTGAGTTCACTCAGGATGGGGAACCATTTTTTCGCCTTTTTCTGTATTCCCTAGAATGTGGCACAGTGCCCAGAACACAGGAGGCACTTACTGAATGCTTGCGGACTCTAACATGCTCAGGGTCACTCAGCCAGGGAGGGCTACAGCCAGAACTCTTTCCCACAATGCCCCCCACACCCTCAACCCCAGCCCAGACCCAGGAGTCAGCGAGGACAAGGCGCCCGTTTGGAGCACGGATTCCCTTCTCCCCTGAAAAATGGGTGGCGATAAATTCAATTTTTACAATAGAAATAAATAGCATATAACTACATAAACACACACACATACATAAAATATAAAGACATAAATACATTTAAAAATAAAATCAACACATTTCCTCTAAAAAGGGGGGGGTGGAGGTGTGGAGGAGGGGGAACGTTCAGTCAACCCCTCAGAAGGTTGAGACCCTGGCACTCCAGCTGCACTCGGGCCCTGACTGGACATTCCATCTGGTCTCCACACTCAGACAACAGCCGAGGGGCTTCATTCACACCACCAGATGCACCAGACTCTGTGTGCCATCGAACTCTCAGAATGTCGGTATGTATGGTATGAATAAGGCCCGGTAAAGACAAGCCCCAGACCAGGGTCGTGGAATGATGCCAAAATCAATAATCCCCAGGAGAGTAAGCCAGCTGGATTCTGTGTTCTCAAGGATGGTTTAAATTGGAAACCAAGGCACTGTGGCTGGGGAGGGCTCCAGTTCTGCTTGTCAGCTTGTCCCTGGGCTTCGTGGACATAGAATGTCAGACCTGACACCACAGATCTAGAGCCAGGAGGGGCCTTAGAATAGGGAATGTCAAGGCTACGAGATCTTGTAGAGATTATCCAAAACATGCAGTGTTTTCAAATGAGGAGACCTCCAAAGGCTCACAGAGGTTGACTTACCCAAGGTCACACAGCCAGGAAGCAGACAGTGAGTTCTGGGTGCCTGAAGGTCTTCAAACAAAGCCTGGACTGGCCAGGTGGCAAAGGCCAGAGAGGGCACCTAGTGCTGGAGTGAGTCAAGATGCCCACCAAGGCCACCTCCAGCTCTGAGATTCCCAGGCTCTCCCGCCTGTGTGTCTTTCTCTCTCTCTGTCTCTGTCTGTCTGTGTCTCTCTCTGTCTCTGTCTCTCTTTGTCTCTCTCTGTCTCTGTCTCTCTTTGTCTCTCTCTGTTTCTTCAGTCTCTCTCTGTCTCTGTCTCTTTCTGTTTCTCTCAGTCTCTCTCTGTCTCTGTCTCTGTCTCTCTCTGTTTCTTTCTCTCAGTCTCTGTCTCTGTCTGTCCCAGAGCTAAGATAGTGCAGGCAGGAATTTCCCCACTTTACAGGGTAGGAAACTGAGTCTCAGAGAAGGGAAGGCCCTTGCCCTGTGGCACACAGCTGGAGAGCATCAGGGTCCCATCCCTCGCCTTTCCAACACAACACCGTCCCCTCCTCATTTTTTCTACAGCTGGGGAGCTGGCTGGGAGACAGAAGAGGGGAGGGCCAGGGCTCTTGGAGGAGGCTGGCAGGAGGAGGGGTCCAGGCAGGCAGGCCAGCCCCAGACGGGGCGGCAGGTTTCTTCCCCTGGCCTTCTTGGCGCTCCCATACGGGCTGTCAGCAGGAACCAGCTGCAGGCCCTCTGCTTCAGAGGCCACCAGCAAAGACGAGGAGATTCCAAGCTCTCAGCCCCTGGCAGCCTGGCCCCAGAGCCCAGGGTGGCTGGGGGAGGGGGTCCTGTCTGGCTTCTCCCGATGCTCCTCCCCACCCCGTTCCCTCCCTAGGCTCTGCCCTGGAATACCTAGACTCTGGGGAGCCCCATTTCTCCATCGCTTTGCAGCCCCTGCTCTAATATAGGAGAACAATAATAATACTAGCTGACACTCATATAGCTCCTCCTATGTGCCAGATCCTCACAACATCTCTGGCAGGTAGGTACTGCTATTATCCCCATTTTACAGATAAGAAAACTGAGAGCGCAGTGATTGATCCGAGGCGTGCAGGTGGGAGGACACAAATCCAGGTTTTCTTTATCTCTTTTCACTCCCCAAGCCCTCTTTTTTGCTGGCCCCCCACCCCACATCACGTGGCTCCCAGTGCCCATCCTGTGGCCTGTCCTGCGGCCAGACCTTGGGCTCCAGCCCAAGACCAGCCCGCGCCAGGGTTTCCCATAGACCTCCCTCCCCCAGTCGTTTTGGAGTGACCCTGTGGAGAGTGTTTGGGAGCTGGCCCACCTCCCCAACAGGCTGCCTTTCCAGGCCTGGGGATTTCCCCCCTTATCGACCCTGGAGTCGAGACATTGCCCAGGCCTGTGACAGAGCAAGTCCTGGACAGAGATCCTGGAATCTGGGGGGGGGGGGCCTCAGGGCCCCAGAGGGGGTGGTGGAGGACGAGGGAGAATGGGGCTGACCTGCAAATCGGGGAGGGGGCAGGGAGAGCAAAGGGGAGCAGAAAGGAAAGAAGAGCCAGAGCGGTTATCCCATCCTGAGGCCACTTCTCAGGCAGTGTCTGGGGGGTCCCTAGGCCTTCCCTTGGCTGGCCAGGGCTGGGAGCAGAGAATACCAGGGCCCTCTCTCTGCCCCTCCAGCCCCTCCCCCATAGCCTTTTTCCCCTCCTGCAGATGCCAGACCTTGTACGAGTCACTTCAGGCTCAGGGGAGGATCTTGTGTGGTGTCAAAGGAGACAGTGTGCCCTCTTCGCCCACTGGAGGGTCTGGGTCCCTCCTCCCTGAAGGCTTCCAGTGTGCCCCAGAGGGGTCAAACGCAAACAAGACCCTCCGTCCCTCCACTTGGGCATTCTGCCTGACCGGCCGAGCCTGGACCACTCTGCCTCCTCAGCTCTAACCACTGAGCTCCCGGGCTTCCTTTGAGTCCCAACTAAAATCCCACCTTCTACAGGAAGCCTTCCCTCCTTCATTATCTCCTACTGATCCTGTCTAGAGAGTGTACCTATTAGATTGTAAGCCCCTTGAGGGCACGAACTGTCTCTGGCCTCTTTTTGTACCCTCAGCGCTCCCACTCCCTTAGCATAGCGCCTGGCACACAGGAGGCGCTTAATCAATGTTGATCGACTATTTCTGGTCTGAGAGTTGGGAAGGCCTTGGAACGGGATGCTGGGAGGGCTGAGACACGGGATACTCAGAGAGGACTCCCAGGGTTATCCGCCGTCTTCCCAGGCTGCCTTTGCTTCTCCCAGGGCCCTGCCTGGGGTGGGAGAGGCCTGGTTGCTGGCCCCTTCCAGACTGGCCGTTATCAGGATGAAGGCACGTTTTCTTTCCTGCCATCTGGGACTCTGAGACCCCCGCTTTCAGGCCTGGCCACTTTGGGGATGCGTGGATACCTCCTTCCCTCCCTCTCAAGCCTTCTGTCTCTTCCCCAACCTTGCGGTCCTTACAGGTGACCTTCCACCCACTCCCCACCCCCGACTCGTCCTGAGGAAGCAGCCAGATGTTTCCAGGGAGACACCAGATGTTCACAGGCAGCAGTGAAATCCACTCCAAGCAGGAGGTAAAAACAACACCTTGGCCGGGTGTGCACCTCTGGAACAGAGCCCGCCTACCCCTGGACCTGAAACACAGACTTCCAAGCCCGGGCTGGGGAGCAGGACCCCTGGCTTCTGACCTCAGCCCTGCAGCCTGTGTGACCTCAGGACAAGAAGCCTGGGCCTCAGTTTCCTCATTTGTAAAACTAGGGGGACTAGATGAGCTCCTCTCTTGACAAGCTGCGTGACCTTGGATCAGTGCCTTCCACCATCAGGGGCCCCGGTTCCTTTCTTTAAATCACATGTTTGGAGCCGGAGGCGACCTTACGCCCCTCACGCGTGCCCCAGAGAGTTGCCCACAGTCAGAGGTTTCGGCTGACAGAACAGGATTCAAACCTGGGGCCCCAGATTCCCATTTCCAGAGCTCCCGAGTGGGCCCTGCACCAGGCCTGAGGGTGGGGCCCAGAGACCACCTGATGATTGTTCCATGCCAGAGGGACAATAGCAGCAGCTGAACCCAGGTGGCCAAAAGGGAACTTGGGAAACCCCGGAGATGGAGAGCAGACAGAGACTCTGAAATCTCCTTGCGCTTGGGAAAAACATCCTGGCCGCAGCTGACGGTTTCCAACCATTGTCCCCCTGCTTGGGGTCAGGGGAGGACAGTGAGCCTCCGGCCTCCACCCTCAGGGGCCCCCAGACTCCTGTCCTGCAGGGCGGGGGACCTGCTCCACCCTCCTGGCCACTCTCATCTGCTGGACCCATCCTCAGGAGGACCTGGTAAGAGAACTGGGGATACTAGCTGTGAGACCCTGGATGAGTCACTAGACCCCCATTGCCTCTCCCCGCTGCCCCAGAAAAGAACTGGGGATGGGGGTGGGGCCACATGGGGGGTAGGAGGACAACTGTGTTCCAGCATTTGGAGGGTCCTGCTTGGCCCCACATGGCAGAACCAGGAACCGGAAGAGGAAGTTAGAAGGAAGTAAATTGAGGCTGATATCTGGAAAGGACTTGCTAACAATGAGACTGTCTTTGAGAGAGATGGGCACAGCATCAGA